TAGTAGAGAGTAGGACTGCGGTCAAGTACTGGCTTTTCCACTCTTGACATGAAGCATACAGCTATCGCAGGAGCCAAACGCTGCCCCATAGCAAGTCCCCTGATCTGTTTGAAGTATTGCCCCGACCAGCGAAAAATCGAACAGTCTAGACAACCTTGCAACAGCGTCATGACCTGTTGGATAGTAAATCCATACAAGCCGATGTTATCGATCTTCTCATTGAGCAATTCGAACACAGCCTGTAGCGCAGCTGAGTTAGACACGTTTGTATAGAGAGAAGTAACATCGAAAGATTCTATGACTTCGCTTCCACTGAATCGCATGCTTCGCAGATGCTCTAACAAGGCGCTGGTATTGGGCAGATGCGCAGAGATAAATTGCAGCATTTGAGTGAGGATGAGATTAAGCAACCAGGAAATTCTATGCGTTGGGCCGCCGACATTACTTATGATTGGACGAACTTTGAAATCTGATGGATCCTCTGAATTCATCAAGTCGACCGGTAACTTATGCGTTTTAATTAGTACATACAATACCGGACATACTGGTAGGTCACACTTGAGGCGGGATATGATGTGTTGTGATAGGCCTGCTGTCCGTGCCGTTTCTACCCAAAGCTTATTAAGCTTCCTATATTCCCTTTTAAACTCTTTTTCCGTTGATTCGCGGTATGTTGTTCTGTCCTCCAAATGCTGTTTAGTGATCGCAACCTCAAGCGCTTTAGGCATTACTACAAATTCGCCTCCTTTGTCGCTGACCGTTATTTTTATAGCATTAGAAGCCATGAGATCTCGCAATTCCTTCATGCCTCTTTTCTGCGCTAACGTGAGGTTGGACTTCTGATGCATGCTGCTGTATCTTTTAAGTGCGCTGTAGACTGAGGTTGAAAAGATTCGGAAAGCACAGTCTACTGATGGTACTGGTTCTTGCGGTTTGTAGTAAGCAGACGGGAAAGTCGAGATTCCAACGAACCTGTACATATATGCGCCCGAAGGGAGCACAGCTAACGTAGTGTATTGTAGAACGCTATCATAGTTACATGCTGCAGTATAGTGTTTGATTTTTGCATTCCAGTCTATTGGAGAATCCAAAAAATATGATAACAAAAAATCCAAAAAAATTGGCAAAAGAAAAACCCAAGAATTCACCACGTGGACAGGGGGAATGGGGAAGGTGGAGAGGGGGGAGGGGACAAACAAACAAATTGAGTAGAAATTCAGTTGAGCTATCTTTCATTATTGATGAGTTTCGGTTAAAGCCTAGGACCTATTCAGTCAGACCGTCCAAGGGTAGGAACGAAACGCTGCAAACTAAAAAAAAACCCGGAGTTGTAGTCCTCTGTAGGATACAACTTCGGTTTTTTGGAACCGAAGTGTATGTGGTATTGGGCGAAGCGGGTATTCCAGCGAGTGTTTTATAATATTTAGTATATGTAATAGCAGATTATTATGTATTATGGCATCTAATACATGTGTGCATGTGCTTCAAATTTAGAGTTGTTAATGGCCTGTGCGTGTAAACAAGCCATTTGTTTGTTTTAGCATTACATCTAGATTTTTTTGATTCCCTGCGCTCGGGCTAATGTGAGATGAATCGCGATGCGCGACACCGCACAAGCAGCCGGTCCACTTCTATTTCAGCCGGTGTAATCTAGTTTCATTCTTCATTGTTTTCCTCACAATTCTGATTTAATTTCAAATAAAAGTCTCTACTTTCATTCTTACTCTCCGAGAGTAAAAAAAGTCTCTTGAAATACCCATAATTGGAATCGAAGGAAAGCACAGAGTTTAAAGTAGTAGTAGCATTATTGGAAACAAAAGAAAGCATCCAGTATCAGGCTCGTAAACGCCTGACATAGTAAACCCGCACCAACGGCAATCTTTGCTAAAAAAAATGAGCATGAAGCGCACATGCGATTGTATTATGAATGCATTTATAAGTTTATCATAAACCATGAGTTTGATTGATAAAAATAAGTTCCGTCGGTTTTCGGCTCTTACCTGCAGACAAATTTTTGTCTAGTGTTTGGTAATTCTGGAAAGAGCACCTCAATGGGGGTTGGAGTAATTCTGTTTGCGTAGCACTTCTCTTTGAAGAAAAAAAAATCCGCTAAGAAATGAGGAACCTCAACTTCTACATAGGACGCGAAAATGAGGAAATTTGGTTCTTCTGATAAAAGATTTCCAATGCGACAGATCACAATTTCCATTCTTACCAACTAGATAGGGAAAAACTCCTCTTTAAATACAAAACGGCTGTCCTCTCCATTCATTGCAGCATGAAAACGAAGCTTAGGGATTCAAAAAATCGAACCTTTAGTAATTTAGACATGTTGAGGCATAACTATCTTTACTGGTAATAAAAAATCCTGAATATTTGATATGTGATAGAGAAACCTCAATCTACTCTCCCGAGAAGAACCATGGATCGAAAACAACAAGTAGAATATATTTTGAAGATTTGATGCCAAAACGAAGTCATTTTTGAGCCAACCTAATATTTCAATACAGAACAGTACAGAGTGTCCCGAAAAATGTGCACACTGTCTGATCATTAATTACTTGCTTGCTACGTTGTCTTTCGCCGATCTTTACGGACCATTGTGTAAAGCGAGGTTCAACTTACTTGTTAGATTTATGGTATGGAGCGAATTATCAGTCGCTCTTCGTTACTGTGGGATTACGGTAGGAACTTTGAGAAGGATCTTGAGCCATTGATAGGATATTTTGCGCATTAGCCATTCAAATTTGCTTTATTCACAGCCAAAGATCTCGACTGTGATTACCAGCAATGGATTTTTTGTTTTCCCAGTTTTTCGCTGATTACGTTAGAGATAGCAAATTACAGAACGAGTGTGAGATCTGCTCACAAAAGGTCTTGAAGCTGTTTCTCACTCAAAAACACTTGATTTCGCTTGTTGCGTTGTTTCTGTAGCAATCCTTTTTTTTGTAGAATTTGTGGGCCGGAGAGCTCGCATGTGCTAGAGTGCGAGGCTTAGGTAGGTGCCAGAGTAAGCGAATATTTTGTTCAAGTTGGGGTTCCGCGCAGAATTGGCATCACAATGCCAACTTGGCGTTGTGCCACAATGATTAGTAACGCCAGTTCTGCGCGGGACCCCAACTTGAACAAAATATTCGCTTACTTTGGCACCTACCTTAGCAGCTACGAACAGGTTATAGTTAGGTACCCACCGCTAGATAGAATAAGGGGCGTGGCCTAACGTAGAGTCTGCTCCAACCAGGCCAAAATTGGCATCGCGCGAGTCCGCGTCGCTAGGGTTTCGCGGTCACGCCCATGGCCTGCTTCTCTCCTCTCTCCAATCTTTTTGCCCTCTCCAACAGCGCGCATATGCAGCGCAGACCGCTAGCGCTTACGCCAAAGCTTCGGCCTGATCCCGATTGGAGCAGACTGGATTCCTTATTGACAGATGCTTAGGTCTGGCAGGATACCCGCCCTTCCGCCCCCCCCCCCTCTCCCGGATATCCACTTATCTCCACATAAGAAAAGAGGCGGGGCGGGGATGGGGGGGGGGAATTGGGCACAAATCTGCATGGAATTCAGTCTTCTAATAGATAACGATGGCAGCATACTGCCGTGCAATGTAGCCTATTTTCCGCATGAATCTCTTGTCTTTGCGCTGCTCTTTTGTCTTTTCCAAACATTTAAACGCTGCTACTTCTGTTCGAACACATTAAAAACAGCGAGTGATTTGTGCTGCGGCGGTCTCCCATGGGAAACTCTTGTGACACGAATCTTAAGCATACCTTAGGAGATAGCCAACACACTTTTTTGCAATCATTGAGGAAATCATGAGGCCTTTAAGTTAACTTCTATGTAGCAGGTGCGAGCAGCTTGATTTATGTCGTACATTGAGGAGCATCATGAGCATGATATTATCGCAGATGTGAAAGCACTAAATTCGTTACAAACACGTGTGGTTAGCATGATCAGCTCAGTCAAGGTGAAGAAGATGTTGAACTTAAAGGCAGTGTCCCGGCAGATTTTGCACCTCCATCTTATTGCATGTTTCAGGCCTTTTCGCCACGTAGAATCCGAATTTGAGCTTTGAACGGGCTGAAAAGGCCGATTTTGGGGCGTTTTCTTAATTCCATAAAAGCAGCCGGACGAGATTTTCAGTGGAATGTTACGGGAGGTCCTCAGACGAAGACCCTGGTGCCTGTAATTCTTGCTTTGGATAGCATGCATCATGGGGAGAGCGCTCGTGGGGTCCCGCGCCGAACAGAAAAGAAAGGCCGTCCAAGCGCCAGTTGGGCTTGCGCGCGCAGGTTCAAGGGCCATTTTCTTGGCCCAGGGGGAACATCACCCAGCCGGACTGCGCCTGAAGGTCGGTGGGATGACCAGGAACCCCACCACATGTATATCCCCGAGGACCCGAATCTGCCGGGACACTGCCTTTAACCCTTTAGGATACGACTTTTTTCCAGTAAGGAAGAGAAGTGCTCACTTACTGCTTAACATCTGAATAGTAACAACTCAATGAAGTTTGAGGATTTTCGACAGCAGTATGTCATTTATTATTTTTCCTCAAACTTTCTTCCATCTTTCTGATTTTTTGGAACAGACGTGAAATCGCAAACTCAAAGCAACTGTGTAACAATATATTCTACAATTTTGAAAATAGTATGAATATATCCCAATCATCTAGGGAGATAATCGACATTTTCCGCAGGGGTGTTGACACCGTTACTGATGTTTTGCGATTCACTTGCACGTAAAGATTCCTATGTTGCTACATAACATTACCATGGATGAAATAGGGCTTGCAAACCACTGTCAGGAAGGCAAAGGTCATCTGAACCGGCCTGTAGAAGTAGTGGAAATCTGCTGCTGCGTAGTATTACTGCCTTCTGGTTGATGGTGGCAATTGCCAAAAGGGTTAAGAGCGGAAAAATTGCAGGTCTTTTGAGTATTAGTCGTGGAGCACCGCACAATTCTTATCTTGATTAATTAGGCAAAGATTCTATGGAAGGCTACTTATCATGACGCGAGCTCTACCAAGCTCTACCAAGGACTTTGCGCTATTTTTGAAACTTGAGCAGACGCTGCTGCGGAAACATCTCAGTGAGATGTTGACTGGAGCTGGATCTGTCGATGATCGAGCACAGCGAAATCGCGCTCATGTCAAGAAGATAGTGATCGATAGCACGTGGCATGAATAGCCTGACACTTCATTGTACTTGTCATTGAAAAACCTTTACGGGTCACAAATCAGCTTTGAAGGTCCCGCGTGGGCGAACTGTGTCCGGATGTCGAATCGTAGAGAGCTCATGGCGCCGGCAAAGAACAAAGAAAATCGCGGCTCTTGTGCGATTTGCTTTTCAAACAATGTGCCCTTTCCTCCCTCTCTCAAAATACTGATAGGTTCAAGAAATTTCATTTGATCATCGAGGAGGTTTTGCCACCCAGTCAGCATTCATCTGCAAGAAAAGAGGTACTGAAGTGTTGATAACAAAGCTGATGGGGTGGTTCAATTTTATTGCGGGCACCCCCGTCGAACTTCCGGTTCCCGTTTTCCAGGTGTCTACGCTCCTGCAACCTCTTGATCCGAGCGTCTTTCTCGCGCTTGTTGTGAGCAGCCGCTTCAATGAGCCCACCCCTTCTCTCTTTTTTCCAACCCGCATATTGATCTAGCCGATCACCCAGGATATTTCACTTCGTTTCGCATCAATCCTTGCCGCATGTGCACTCTCTCCGAGCATCATTTATCCCAAACACGTGGGCGAAAGCTCGTGATTAACATGCTTCGGATAGGCTTGCAAACCATTCATTCAGTACGCCCTACATCCTCTCTCCCTATTTTTTGTAACTTATGGGAGCTTTAAACTTTCCAGTCACTCCTTGCTCTGATGACAGTGAGCAGACCTATGCTCTGCTTCTTTTTGTTGTTCACTTTGTGCGATGCTCTTGCCGTCTTCGTACAAATGCCTACTTATGAGCTGAATTTCTATATTCTGTATGTTGTAAGACGTAGAAAATATGTAGTACAATTATGCTGTTGAATTCTGTGTGAAGATAGTCTAGCTTCATGTAAATTGAAGATTTTTTTCCGATAGTGAGTCAGTTTTTCTTGAATTCTGTGTAAAGCTTTGCATCTTGTCAATTTTGACTTATTTTTGAATTTTTTGATACGATTTGATAAATCTCATAAAGAGATTTTCTTTTGCAACGAGAACATGTCACAAGCCACATCGAATTAGCACTCCACATTACACAAGGACTACTCCTGCTAGGCTCTCATTTGTTGTCAACATGAGCACCCTCCTCTAGAAAAATCCTCAGTCTTTGCGTTCTTTTGTGTATGGCCTGTCTTTCAACTCTACTGATGATCTCTGTAGAATCGATTGCTTTGCGATAGAATTTCGTTAACCTTAAATTTTTAGCGTATTAACTTCAAAATTACATTCAATAGTATATGCGATAATTACATTCAATAGTATGAGCAGCGGAACTGTTGCAGTCTTTTCTCTGAATTTTCTTATCACTAGATTATTCTAGACCACAAGACTGGATGAGTGCAAAATTTATGAAGAAGGCAGATTAACTTTGCAGAAATGTGAATAATGGATCTGTTGAACGTTTTTTAGAATTAATTTTGATTTGTGAATTGAAATTTGAACCTGCTTGCATCTAATAGTAGTCTTCTCGTTCGTTTAGAATACCGCTTCGTTTGCATAAAAGTAAGAATTTCCTTTTTATGCTCAACCCGATGTCCACAAATTTTGTTGAGTCAAAAATCTCCTACTTTTGGAAACATCTGACGTGTTTCCTGTCAAAACTTCGATACTCTTACAATTTTTTTTGATTTGGTAAAACCAGTTTTCAAGATGTTACTTAGTTAAAGAAAGAAATTCAGTAAGCGATCAGAAAACAAAGCCTGATGTATGAAAGCATCGAATCAAGTAGTACAGCTCTCCTAATTTTTTTCTCTGGAGACCATCACAATAGAAAAGTGAAGCATCCGTTTATCATTGGTACAATTACGCTTTTGAATTCTGTGCTAGAGATCTGCCTACAATTTTTTGTTGAATGGAAGTCGCAGAGGCTTATGACTGGGTGGAACTCACGTCAGGATGGCACTTACAATCGCTTCAACGCACACCTGTCGAGCCACCCACCGCGGTTATGAGCCTCTGATTGTCCGCTGGTATGTTGCATTGAATGAAACTCACATAAAAAGTGGAGAGCGAGCACTGCTCCGCTAATGTGATTCCTTAATGAATTTTGATAAACTCTACTGGTAAAAAAATCTCATTGGCGATAGCAGACTAAAAATAACACCATTGTGCTGGTGTTGAAGCGCTTACAATGCCGTTGATGCAAATTTCCCTAGGAAGTTACATTCCTGCGAAAGAATCTCAGATGGGTCCTTGAAATCCTTGAAGAAAGTTTCAAGGAAACTGATCTTCCCGTAGCTAAGTTTTTGTGTGCATAAGCAGAGCTATCGTGCACGTACTGGCGTTCTTTTTTCCCACGACTTTGGCTCATATGACCGAGTCGATAGTGTTTGATGCTTACCGTACTTTCAAGTAAAACTCACTTCGTTTCTGTCCGCTTCATAGTTAGTTTAGTCACATTCCTAAACTCAAGGAGTTTCTATGTTTCTACTCGTTCCACTTTGAAGAACGCTTCAAAATGTAGCGATTTCCTATCTGCTTGTGAAGACAAAGCGATGTTTAAAAAGTTGAAAATATTAGTTTGGCTAAAAAAGTTCGTTTTGGCTAGGATTTTTAATCATTGGTAAAGACAGTTATGCCTCAACATGGCTAAATTTTCAAAAGCTCGGTTCTTTGACTTCCTAAGCTTCGTTTTTATGCTGTAATGGATTTAGCGAAAGCAGTTCGGTGTTTGGATACAGAGGAATTTTCCCTTTTTAGTGAATAACAATGGAAACTGCGATCTGCCATTTTGAAAATATTTTATCAAAAAAAATCAAATTTCCTCGTATTAGCGCACTATGCGAGAATTGAAGTTTTTCACTTCTTTACGGATTTTTTTCATTGAAAGATAAGTTCTACTCTAACAAAATTTATTCTCCGATTCCCATCGAAGTGTTCCTTCCAGAGATATTAAAGAATGGCAAAAATCTATTTGCAGCATTTGTAAGAGCCGCAGAAGCGACCTTGTCTATTGACCAACCTAATATGTTTGTGGACTATTTCAGTTGAACCTTACTCAATCTATTCCATTTCTAGATATAGGCCTGGAGCGGTTGACCCCCACTGGTCTGGTAGAGCAGCGCGCAATCTTACCTAACCTTGAAGGAATCTCTGGCAGAAGTGAGGGTTATGGTATATCAGTGCCATATAAAAGCACTCTTCTCCTCCACTCTCTACCTCGAATATGCAATAGCACGAGAAATTTAGGAACAAGAAAGTGTTTCAACTCTATGATGTTTCTTGCTTGCCATCTTAGAGAGAGCGAAATATGGAATAACTCTGTAAGAAATCAAGATATGTAGTGGCCAGGAATTCCACCAAGATTACCGTACCACTGTCTTTGTCTCTGGTCTAGGCTCGCCTCTCTTTCTCTGATGCAACCTGTAACCTTGAGTCATTTGTAATTTAATATGTGAGATTGCACACTAAGCCCCATTAGCAACGGCACCATTACTAGCAATTTCCAGTGCAACATTTTTCTAGCCTAAGAAACTGTAGAATTATGTTCTGTTGACCAACATATAACCAACAAAACACTGACAAGAAAACAAAGAAAAAGTTATGAAAATGAACAGGTTCTGATTTTGCAGTTCGTCAGTTAGCGTGTATAGTGTGCATTAGGCCTAAGGCATACCTCACGCGATTCGGCCGAATCGCTACTTTCACGCGACTCGGCGATTTGCCAGATTTCTACAAATTTATCGTGCGCGCTTCTCGGATGCATATATGGGTAGCTTGTGTAAGTTGTTGCAAATGGAGCAAGTTCTGACCAAAGACAGCGCATTAACGACGAATTACGAAGAGTCGCTGTTGTGCCAAATCGCGCAGCGACCGGAATCGCGTGAGGTATGCCTTAGGCCTTACGCATATTAAGTTACGAATGACTCGACGATAATCGTATACTAGCTATTGCTGCGCCAAAATGCGCTACCCTTAGGTTTGCTAGTGCTACCAAGGACCTCGCGAAAAAGCGATGTGATTCAGTTCCTAAGCACTTAATCAAGTCTTCAAGCAGGACTGCAGGCCGGTCCACATGAAGTGTTACAGGCTTCAATAAAATTCTTTTTTCGACCTTTGATTGTCCTCTTTTTTGCTTCGAAGGACATAAACCGTTTTCTCCGTAGCTCCCTTTGCCATTATGGTTTTTCCGAAGGAGGTTTTGTTGAGGAGTCTTTTGGAAAAATACAAAATTCAAGTGTTTTCCTTTAACGGCCAGAATCCAAAAAAATACGCAAAATTTTTTCTTGGTTCAAGTGCCGTTAGAAAGTGCATGATCTAACTTTTCCAAAACTTATCAGATAAGGCAAATCCGTTGAAGGCAACATACCGAAAATGATACCAGCATTCTATCACGAAAGTGATCAAATGCATGTATCTGAGTCAGAAAAGGGCATTTTCAAACCTGATCAATAGGACCTATGCAAAATTTGCACAGCTTTCAGATAAAATTAATAGTTCAAAATCCGAGTTATTGTGTGCAGAGTTGTGGTCGTATTTTTGGGTTGCATTTCATGTGGACCACGCTGTATTGCGGTGCGACGATCTTACTGCTTTAGCGAAGTTCGGTACCGTTTTTCAGGAAACCTTTACGACTAAGCATCGGTCGGAATTCAAGCGTAATCATGTGTAGCGGAGCAATAGTGGCATTAATTTTGAAAGTTCTTGGAGAACGGTCTACGGTAGTTATTTTTCGATCTGGGAAAGGCTGGGATTACCAAAATGGTTTAGACGCAACTGGCGCCACGTTCGCTCGAAAGAGACTCTAGCACAAAAGAGCACAAAATAAAAATCTCGAAACCTTCAAAAATAAGCATAGCGAGAATGATTTACATGAGGTGGAAGTTCAGGTAGAAAAACATTTTAGGACAAAATTACTCACTCATCGCTGCAAAACTTTTTGAATCGCAAGCATAAAATCACGGACTTTACATAAAACAAACTTTTTTTGATGACAAAGATGGTGTGTAATGTCTGCAGAATGAGAAATGAAACTGAATACACTTTTTACTTCCGTTTATCGGACCTTCAAAATTGTCCATGCTTGTAAACCCTATTTCTCAATTCAAACATTTTTCACAGTCTATCTAGGAACTGATGTCCGCTATAACCTATAAGATTTTCAATACTGAACTTATACAATCGAATCTTTCTTCTAAAAAATCTCAGTGAAAGACTTAGAGTTGTGTAATAGCATGATCTTGAGATACAAATTCGTTCGCTATTAACTTTATGTGGTTAGGTTTTGGTACTTTTACTGTAACAAAAATTAAGAAACTTTCTGAAAGAGTGAGAAAAACATCAAAAAACTACCACAATATGCATCATGCAATGACATGCGGCATACTAGACCCCCCTCATTTGCCTCTTCGGTTTCTGTGGTCGCACCACTTCGAACCAGCAAATATGTGATGAAAAAATCCCAACTTAATTGAAGATCAAAACGAGAAAAAGGTAGACAGAAACTCTCCGGGGGTTAAAATGAGCTTCATGCTGATAACTGTTCTGCCGAGCGCAACTTCAGAAACTGGTGCAATTACACAAAGCCGTTGATAAATGAGGGCGACTGTAGAACAATTACTTTGAGTGATAAACGCGAATCATGCGGGCTGATAGCAGTCACCTCCCTCTAGCTGGGAAAATTGATTTAAAACAGATTCTTTGTTTCTTTGTAATTTCATCTCAAAATTTCCTATCTTTTTTTAGCTTTCTCGGTTTCTGACTGGACTCATTTACTTCTCCTATTAATCACATGGAGACAGAGCATAAACACGAAAGAGTCATTTCTGTTGACAGTCTCTGACAAACAGCAGACATCGTGCTTGATGTGTAGTGGATGATGCCGAGGCATATTATCACCACACAATGATTACTTACTTCTCATGATTTGACTAGCAGAGATATGATTGACGATTCGCGATAATCAATACAACTGAAATTAGCAGATCTTTTGAGATTAAGGCCATAGAAGTTTCTCCTCGTCGCTTAAAGGCAGTGTCCCGGCAGATTCGGGTCCTGGGGGATATACGTGTGGTGGGGTTCCTGGTCATCCCATCGCCCTCCAGGCGCACTCCGGCTGGGTGATGTTTTCTCTGGGCCGAAAAAATTGCCCTTGAACCGGCGCGCGCAACCCCAACTGGCGCGCGCTTGGACGGCCTTCCCCGCCTGTTCGGCGCGGGACCCCACGAGCGCTCTCCACCATGATGCATGCTATCCAAAGCAAGAATTACAGGCGGCAGGATCTTCGTGACCTCCCCCAACTTTCCATCAAAAATCTCGTCCAAGCTGCTTTTCTGGAATTAGAAAAACGCCCCAAAATCGGCCTTTTCAGCCCGTTCAAAGCTCAAATTCGGATTCTACGTGGCGAAAAGGCCTAAAACATGCAAAAAGGTGGAGGTGCAAACTCTGCCGGGACACTGCCTTTAAAGGCACCATCCACCCAGAATGGGGTCGATGAGATTTTGATGCCTAGCAGAGCGGGCCCCCAACGGTGCCCAATTTGCGCTGCCAAAAGTTGCTTCCGTACACGAGAAAATAGCCTCGAAAATCGCTTCGAATGACGTATTCTCCACGTTGGCTCCTCCCCTTTGTTCGTCCCGCCCAATCGCCTTCCAGAGAACTCGCCCGTCGGGTTTTGCGAAAGAGGATTTTTTTTGGGTCTTCTCGCCTTGATGTTCGAATCAGGGCATGAGAAGGCCCCGGAACGACAAAAGCCTGGAATTCAAGAAGTTGGATGGACGGTGCCTTTGAGCTTTTCAAAATAAGTTGAACACACAAAATCACTGCATCTGAGATTTACATTATCAATCCAGGTGTATTGAGCATCAAACTCTAGCTCAGCAAACAACGGCGGTGCTTGCTGTTCTCGCGATAAGAATTTTCGCTAGTTACTGTCGAAGGTTTCTCATAAAGGGGACACCTTTATCGTGGACGTTCTTGACTCAAAAACAATAATTAGCTGCATTTAGTGCATATAATCCCCCCTAGTCGTGTTAGCTGGTACAATCTGTGCTGATTGGGGCACATGAATTCTGTTTCGACGAGAGCCATTTCGAATCGAAACGTTTGTCCATACAGCATTTTGTTGTGTAATTTTACTGCGTTGACTAGGTGCTTCTGCTAGGATTGTTCTGTTATCGCTCGTTCACTTGCTTGTTGTCAAAAACCTCTGGAATGCTCGAATTGAATTTCATATGTTCTGAGACTTGTAAATGCTGTAATGAGTGACCAAAAGTGAATCTGTGCAGCGGGAATATGGTTCTTTGTGTTCGCAGCTCGAAGATGATCTGCTCAAAGTGCCAAATCGGCGAGTTTGAGTTTCGAACTCCATCATTTTGTTCGAGTTTTATTGGACTATCAGCAATTTTGTAAAGTCCAGCATTCCTCCTCTCAATACCTTTTCGCTACTAAAGTACTGCTTTCATACCGTTTTTTTTGACATAATTGTGTCGGTTTGCCTCTCCACGTTGGTCACTTACTGATGGAAATAATGAAATTTTGACCATCTAGCCAGAAGTTAAAATGCTTTATCTTTGTAATGTTGTAATTTCAAAAAATAGTCATCAGCTAAAACCGGAATGTTCTATTTGCTCATATTTTCGAAGATGGGAGTGCTATTTCAGCTCGAGGCACTAAGATTTTGGCTCGTAGTAAACCTCGGTCAGGGGAGTAATCTCCCTTGAAGCCCTTATGTGAGGTTCCGTCAGGTGAAATGACGACCGCCCATTTCTCCATGCTATAAGAATGCAACGTCACCTGATATGTGAGCCTGTCAAGTCCGGCAGAGAGATCACCTACTTGCTGAGTCATGGGAGGTGATCAGAACGATGATCTCCCGAAATAATGTGCTAACAAGCAGATTTAGAGAAATTTTCCGTAATTACTCCTGGGTAACTTACGATGCACGTCATTTCAACATGTCGAACATACTAAGTGAGGAGGTACAGTGCGCTGACGATCTTCAACACATCTAACAAGTGCGGCCACATCTCCGCCGCTAGTAACAGTCACAAAGATGTAAATGTTTGGCGAACGCGTTTTAGCTTGTATATGGTCGATTTGTCGACCGCACGGACTGCTCAAACGCTGCGGTACACGCGCGGTGCGGCTGAATTGTCGCGAGAGCACGACTTGTACAATGGCGAATTTGTACTGGGACAAGCGTTTTACTTCGTGGCGTGTGCTCCGCAGTGATGTCCAGTCCGTGCGGTTAACGAATCAACTATACTTGGATGCACGTTTCGCAGTCAAACATATCAACGTGAATGGTTAAAATTATCGATCAGTGGCTCAACTAAGGCCGAGCTGACTTGTCGAAACCTCAGCTGAAGCCTTCCTCGGTTGAGATTGGATGAGGCAGCTTTACTACGGGCCTTTCTCTTTACCTTAGTCGCTAACCATTAGATGCAGTGCAAATGTTTGATTTTCCCATAAATTGCAGAGCTAACTAAAGCCGAGTTTTTTAAGAAGGATTTTCCATTAACTCTATAGCATCAATCTCAGAATGCTTTTACTTATAACTGCCTTTTGATTAATTTTCTGTTTGATTAGAAGAGATATTAGGTTGTAACAAAATTAATGCAGGTTTTGAATTCCAACCGCAAAAAGTCATACACTTCTTATTTCTAACTGGGTTGCAAAGTACCATTCGATAGAGCAAAGCAAGCTCTACAAGAAGACCATCTTGCTTTAGCAACAACTCTGATCCACCACGAGTTTCGAGCCAAAAACTAAAAAGATTCAACGGCCCGAAAAATTGAGAAAAATCGTAACTTATTTCATAAAAAACCTACAAAAATTCTAGCTTGCTCACGTAAACAATATTCGCATAAGACATCTATCTACGCCTTTGCCGTATTTTTTTCTCTGTTAGAAATCAAGAAAACGGAAATTTTCGTGCATTTGCCAAAGTGTTGCTGTGCCGTTCCCACATAAGTAATTGTATACTACAAATCTGTAGAAGTACAAACGTAAATTTTCAGCTCTCTACAAGCTTTAGTTCTCGAGAAATTTGAATTTTAGCTTGGACCACATGACTAGCGAAAACTGTATTCGATATTTTTCGAGAACTAAAGCTTGTAGAGAGTTGGAAATTCACGTTTATACTTCTACAGGTTTGTAGTATACAACTACGTATGTGGGAACGGCACAGCAACACTTTGACAAATGCACGAACATTTCCGTTTTCTTGATTTCTAACAGAGAAAAAAATACGGCAAAGGCGTAGATAGATGTCTTATGTGGATAGTGTTTACGTGAGCAAATTAGAATTTTTGTAGGTTTTTTATGAACTGAGTTACGATTTTTCTCAATTTTTCGGACAGTTAAATCTTTTTAGTTTTTGGCTCGAAACTCGTGGTAGATCAGAGTTGTTGCTAAAGCAAGATAGCCTTCTTGTAGAGCTTGCTTTGCTCTATCGAATGGTACTTTGCAACCCAGTTAGAAATGAGAAGTGTATGACTTATTGCGGTTGGAATTCAAAACCTGCATTAATTTTGTTACAACCTAATACAAAAGCAATGGATTAATGATCTTTCATTTTTGTACCAATCGCGAATTTTCCAACTTTAGTCCGTTTCATCAACTTCATAATGTTTATGTATGACATTTTGACACTACGACGATCTTATGCTCGTTTTCGTGTAGTAGCATTTCTAGAATTTGTTGCATATTCAGATAAAAGTCGCTATTTCTTCTAGTCCACTTTTTTCAAAGTTTCATACTCTAGAAGACTGTCAACACTAATAAAAGAGAGAAGAAGGACAACGCTGGATGCTCAAATTCTTCAACTTTGAATAATTTATTGCTTGTGATTTTAGAAGTTAAGGTAAGCCAATTTGACAACCATCTCCGTTGTAAATTAATAGTTTGATTCAGACACCATTGCTTTTGCGTTGAGAACGAACTCACGCCTCCCCTATGCGAATTTCTCGTTTCGACTACTATAGAACGAGGCGACGGCATTGTTCTTGATTGATCCCATGCTTCTCAACTCACAGCTCGATGTCGTTTGATTCGATCTCTTCTGGTGCGACGGGGTGCTTCCCCCGTCGTGCGCACACAATTACTGCGCCAGATGAAGCACATAACTATATGGTCACGGTAAGTAAAGAAAAAGAAGGGTTACGGTATGTTCGTTTGTGGGCCAATAGTCGCACGAGCGGCTTGAAGGAATTCGTTCCTCTGCCCCAAGAAAAGAAATACTAATAGAATCTCAGGTGTACATGCACTGCTTCAATCCGGAGGATCATAATGACCGTGTTTGCATCGACCTGCACAAAAGATCCACAACCGAAGAGCTCATCGATAGGGTGATTTCGATGCGCGCTGGTGGGTAATTCGATTTTATCACATCCACAGTTAGTAATAAGTCTCTTGCATAATCGTGTTATTTATCCTTTGATTTTTGTAATTTTTTGCTCTATAGTATACCAGATCAGATGGATTAGTGTCCTTGCTATGCGCAAAACTTGCGCGTGAAATTTGGAAAGATGTGCTATATTCAAATTTTTTTCGCACGTGTTTTCACCTCGCACCGCACTATGTAGTAGCTAGTACTAAGATAGTCAAAAAATACGGAAACTTCTGCTTGTAGACAATTCTTGGGTGGGAATAAACTCAAAATTACATACAAAGAAAAAACCAAATGACAATTCATCATTGCATCTTTGAGTTGCGTCAAGAAGTTTTGCTTTAAGGTTGAGCTCGAGAAAATCATTTCCAAAGAATTGCCATGGTCTCCTTACTTTCCATTTTTTGTGTTTTTTTATTTGATTATTTTTTTTATTTGGTTATTTAATATTCCAACTTCCATTCGAATGGCTCAATGTATTCATTCTCAGATCTGAATGGTCAATCCAGCGAGGATTACGATATTTTTGAGATGATGGTCACTCCAGATGGGCAGGCCTCTAAGGTACCACATCATTGCTGTAGATCGGATTTTCTTGAAAACTTTCTTACAGGAGCGACGACTGGACCGTGGCGAATATCCAGTAGCCGCTCAACTGATCTGGAAGCGAATGCCTGGCGGAGAGCAAACCGCCAGCAACTACCGATTTGTGTTCAGGTTTGGCTTCCACACGCATTTCTTTAGGTTTTTTGTAGGGTTGCGATAAGCTAGAAGGCTGTGACCATCCAAATTGTCTTGATTGTGGGAGGGAACGTGAAAGCTCATTTTGAACTACCTTTGTCCTCGTTTGGATATCACTCACCCAATTCAAGAGAGAGTAAAGCTTTTGAGACTTTTAATGAAGCCATGATGTTATGAATATCGGGAGTATGCTGGTGAACTGCGGATTTGAACTTGGGTTGTTTATTCAAAATTTGATTTGGATTATATTAGATTGCCCCATAACTTTTTCCGTTTTTACTTTTCCCGCTATAAGGCAGGTTCTCTTTGATCTTCATGTAGAATTTGCAATACCGTTTGATAGGGCAAGTTCAAGCTTTACAAGATAACACCCAAGCGCTTCTAAAATGTTTCTATTACATATATCGAATTTAGAACATGAAAATTCTCTAAATGCTCGGAAAGTAGAAAACGATACTTCGTCTAGAAGATTCCAACCATTTATATGCAAACTTGCTTGTTTTTTTTTTCATGGCTGGATCAATACAATAATCTTCTTTTTTATATTGAAACTTGAATTCTCCCCACATAGATGATTTCATAGTGCGAAACTTCGTAAGTCAATTATGCATTTTCGGCCTTCTAACAAGCGCAGGTTCTTGAAAAACATCAACTTTAGCCAAAAAATCCAAGATATTTTTTGTATTTTTGGTCCAAATTGCCTCTCTGTGTATCTCAATTTTTAGAAGAGAAACCACACTAAGTGCACATAAAAATGCCCCATGTGAAAATGTATGCTTGAGCAAGTCAGGAGTACGTAGGATTTTTCGGACGAAGATACGAGTTTCTTATTTTTTGGGCATAATTCCTTATTTTTTCTGGCATGACTCTCTAGAAGTGGGCTTTGAAGCTTATGAGAAACAAACTTTTTGCAAATGATTGAGTGCTGCTGTTTTGTAGAGCTTGATTTGCGCTATCAGTGGTAGTATAGAATCTATTCGAAACTTAAGAAGACTATGAATTATTGCAAGAGAAAATGAAAACGGAAAACTTACGAGACAACCCAATACGAAGTTGATTCAACGCAAAAGTTTTTTCTTATACAAGTGAAAATTCTAGAGTACAACATTTGTTGATAAATGGGTCAATACTTGTCCAGAATATAGAAGATGGCTTGCTGGCTGTTTGTAATCATCAATGTCCTCATAAATCACCCTTTTTCTCTGCATTATTTCCATCTAGCTAGATATTTGTTACAGTCATAAATCATCTCACTTTCGTCATCAGAATCTAAAAATAGCAAGTCGTGAAGTTCTGCGACAATCTGTGCTAGCTTTCATCGTTGCAAAGCATTCTTCTCACATTGGATCAGCATAATGTGCAGATGTACAATCACATGCTTTCACTTACTTTCTGGCTTTACGGGCTGTTTTAATCACATAACTCACAGGCAATGCGTCATTAAAACTAGTCTTCTCTCCTACTGTGCTCAAATTGATTCAGATCAGGAGATACAGGGCTCGGCACGAGCTGGAACCAATAAATTTCCAAACGAAGTCGAAAATTCGTTTGCATTATCCGAATATGCAAGAAAGCTCGCATATGAAACATGCGAATAAACATTTCAACGATCGAGTACTCAAATACGTACTTTTTTCCTCGAAAATTTGAATATTTGAACAACTGTTCTTCAATATTCTCGAATAACCGAGTATTCGAACAACCGTCTTTCAGTTTCTCGATTATTCGAATATTCAAATAATCCACTTTCTCAATTGAAATAAAACATTAATAAATATCAATTTTTACAAATATAGATACAAAATGAAAAACATGTATAAATATCACTACTATTGACATGAATATTCCAATACGAGTGTTTTTCACTTATTCGACTATTCAAATAATCGAATAAACTCATTCGAATACGAATATTCGGTTGCAACTATACTATACAACCTGAAGAAAAAATTATGACTTAGCTTGACCCACTTTGAAATCAATAACCTTGGAAATTATCCCTTCAACAAGAACATTTGTTTCATAACAGAGTGAATAAAACTGAAAAGGTCTTTTTAGGCATAAAGGAGCTCGAACTGGCTCATCATGCACTCGTTTTGGCTCAGCCGAAGCTGCCAGTACCATAGACTCTTTTCTAGCCAGGTTTCTTCAGCAGCCTCATGTGAGTTGGTATTTCTTAATATGAATAAGGCTTTTCAATTAAACTATTTGAAGGATCGCGAGTATGCAGATCTTTGTATGCTTCCCGAATTGACTGAGCAGACCTTGCTTGATAATTTGAAGGATCGCTTCAACAGTGGCCACATCTACACTTACATTGGACCAATTTTAGTCGCTGTAAATCCATTCAGGTTCTGGGAACAATGTTGCTAATTTGACTTCTCTTGTATCCTTTTTTCAGCTTCTTCCCCATATACAACCCTAAATATGCAAGGTTATACTCCCAAAGCAGGAAACTTGGCAGTTTGCCTCCACATATATTCGCCATTGCTGATGTCACATACCATAAGTAAGTCCAAGCTACTTCAGCTTACGATCTGGTGAATTTACTAGCACTGCAGCTGCGGAGTCGCCAACACTTGTTCCAAAAAATTATTTTTAATGCTTAAAACTGCAAAAATATCAAATTTAACAGCCCATGACCATTTTTCACGCTCTAATGTTGTCGTCACCGCAGAGTCACCATATCAATCATCAAATACTACTATACAAATGTTTGTTCAGCATGCTCCGTATCAAAGAGAGCCAATGTGTTGTGATCAGCGGTGAGAGTGGTTCGGGAAAAACCGAGTCCACCAACCATTTGATCTCACATCTGACCTCGCTCTCACAGAAGGGGACCAGTGCTTGCAGCTCAGAGACCACACTGCTGAATGCTGGTCCCGTGCTTGAGGTTTGTCATTGAGGATACGGTTTTACTTCCACTTAATATTTGGAATATCTGTGATTTATGAATGATCTGTGTGTGACTCCAAAAATAATAAGAACATGATTATCTTAATTATTCCTTGTGAGGAATAAACCTAAAGACGCTTTTCACGAATAGAGAATTCTGCAGAGTTTGATATAACATTATAAAAGTAATTTTAGAAGAATTTGTAACTTCTCCATTCTCGATATATGACATACTAGATGGCAAACCCGGCTCCGCCCGGGGCCAAACTTTGCACACATACACTTCGGGGCAGGGAGCGTGTCATAACTTTTCGTTATCGATCGATGTCGATTTCACCGATTTTTTGCAAAATTTGAGCTAGGGGGCTGGGATTTTGCACAGGGGGGGGGGGTAATCGAACATGCTGATCACCCCCGTGGGGGTGATCAGCATGTTCGATTACCCCCCCTGTGCAAAATCCCAGCCCCCTAGCTCAAATTTTGCAAAAAATCGATAAAATCGATATCGATCGATAACGAAAAGTAGCCTATGACACGCTCCCTGCCCCGAAGTATATGTGTGCCAAGTTTGGCCCCGATCGGTTCAGAAATAAAAATTTCTATTCCGCACATACGTACAGACAGACATACAGACATAGAAGAGGTTCGCCCTAACCTAGGGGAAAATAATCTCCATAAGGAAACTGCATAAGAGTCCAGGAAGGACCGCCTCCGACTCAATGGATTTGAGGTCCCTTAACCAAAACAATTTAACAAGAATAAATCAATGTTTTATGTTGTCCTTGAGTGATAACAACAACAGCGAAAACCGGTTGAGGCTAGTTAATAATCCAGTTTCCTCTGTTACAACAGGAACGAGGTGCAATAGAAGAAACTGCGAAGTTTGTGATAAAATGATATTCAAGTCATATACTCAAACTTCCACAACACACTACTGCTTCAGAACTAATAAACCTAATATCTCAAATTGTGACGCAAGAAATGTAATTTACATGATAACTTGCCTTACTTGTAAACTACAATATGTAGGAGAAACAACACAAACCGTAAGAGCAAGAATTAATCAACATCGCAGAAGTTTTAAAAAACTTAGCATAAATACATTCATGGTGAACCACTTTCGAGATACAAGCCATGACCCAAATAATATTAGTATTGAAATTTTAGACCATGTAAGAGAAGAAGAAGATAATTTGAAAAAACAGCTTAGAGAAAAAGAATTGCAGTGGATACAATATATTGTAACAGCGTACCCCTTCGGGTTTAATGACCAGATAAAAGGATTCGGAAACATTTCAGATAATGTCAACCCACTAGAGAAAAAACAACACCCATACTTTATATGTCGATTACAATAAAAAGAAGAAGGGGTAAGAAAAGAAGGTCAAAGAAAAAGAGGGAATGTCATGATAGAACAGGAGAAATAGTAACAATAATAGGTAACTTATCTAGCCACACTCTGTACACATACTTCAGAACATTGAATAAGGCAGACATAAATCGCTTAATAGATTTTACTTTTACAAGTGATTTTTCACGACTAAATTTTGAACACAAATATAAAATATATTCATTAGTAGCAACACCTTTTTGGGGGAGGAAAGAGAAAGAAGAAGTACACAGAGAGGAAATTAAGGTCATAATACCATATCAAGGTCCTATTATGGAAAGACTGAAATTATCTAAGTTATGTAACAGTTCACATATCCAACGCATATTAACGGAGCAATTACACGTAGATAACGTGAAAGATATTAGAGTACGAGTTCAGTACACTTTGAAGAAACCTTTGGCCTTGGAAATATGCAATTACCACAGCTTCCTCAAAGGTATACATAATGTCTCAGAAGAGGCAATAAATAATCAGACATGTGACTGCAGCAAATATCCGGAATATATAGACACATATCATAAACACATTTGCACAGGAAGCTTAGATTTCATACGTGATAATAACTTACGAAATGTATTGAATAAAGGAACCAAATACAGAAGACACACTATAGTTACAAAAGCAGAAGTTAAGGAGGTGTTAGAGGAACTAGCTAAACAGTTAACAATAAAATACACAAACAAATTTCACACTTCAACTGCTAATAAGGAAACAATAAATAAGAAGTTAACTGAATATTTCAGAAATAAAACTAAGTGTAAGCTTTATAACATATATGACAATAACTTAGTCGAGTGCGATGAATATGATAAAGATGCTCTCAATAGAATACAAAAAAGCTTCGTAATTACTCCAATAGATAAAGCAAGTGCAAATTTCAGTTTTACATGCAAGAGGTTCTACCTCCAAATGATCAAGAAAGAAATGGATCAGACAAACGTAGAAGGTCCTACCTATATACCAACTTCAATTCAAGTAAATGAGATACGAAGTAAACATAAACACTTATTAAACAGCTTGAGCCTTAAATATGATGAAAAGTTCAATGAAGTACCTAGAATATATGGAATTCCGAAAATGCACAAAAATCCCATAAAATTTAGATATATAACCGGAGCAAAAAGAAGCACAATTAAGCCACTTACTACATTACTTCAGCTCATATTAGCTCATATTAGAAAACATTTTGCTAATTACTGTAAAGTTATTAAGAATAGGAATAAAATTAAACATTTTTGGGCTATAGAAAACAGCAGTGAGGTAGTGAGAGACTTAGCCTCTGCTAAAGGAAACTTAGAAGTGTATTCGGCCGATTTCTCCAGTCTATTCACAAGTCTTCCACATAGTGTCGTTAGACGCAACTTGAAGAATCTCATACATTTATGTATGAAAGGATATAAGTACATCAAAGTGAATGGTAATAGAGTGTCATATGCAAACACAAACCTAACACAAGGAAAATTTTATCAAATAGAAGACGTTATGTACATGATAGATTCACTATTATCATCAAGCTTTTTGTACTTTGGGGGAACAATATATCAACAAATAAGGGGTATCCCTCAGGGTGCATCGTGCAGTCCGCAGATGGCAGATCTTACCTTAGCATTTTTTGAATATGAATTTATGAGAAATCAAATAGGAACTTTGGATAACCAGAAAAGATTCATGTTTAACCATACGTATAGGTACATAGACGACATCCTACACGTATCACCTTTTGCAGTAGATTTCGAAAGAATGGTGGAAGCCATATATGACCAGTCTCTAAAGATTGAAAAAACCAATACAGAAAGAACGACAACAAATTTTTTGGACCTCACCATAGAAATTAGAGTCAATTTTGTCAGATTTAGTCTATATAATAAAACAGACGATTACAATTTTAAAGTTATTAGATACCCCCACTGGTTATCAAACATACCTCGATATATACTAACCAATACTTTGACAACCGAGGTATTACGAATTTATCGGAACTGTACCTCTTATACAGATTTTAGAGATAGATTAGTGGAACTTAGCCATATATTGAAGCGTAACGGATGGGATAGTAGCAACTTCATACATGCTTTGTTCCATACCTTGTATAACAGGCCAAATATTTTACGTAAGTACGAGTTCTACACCGCAGTACACCTCCCACTACTCCATGACTTACGTACGACCTGGCAATAAGCCAACGCGCTATATTCGGGCGGGAGGACAATTGAGGACAAGATATAAGACCTCAGCAGGGAATAGATGCCATTCATTGTTACAGCGTTAATATAGTTTTCACCTCATTCTCCTTTCTTCCTCCACTCCTCTTCAAATTAGATTATAGTAGGTTTTAGTATCTCTTTTACGCTTTCTTGCGAAGTACTGATGAGGGGCAGCAAGAAAGCCACATTACCGGTATACTTCTAAGCCCCGAAACCGGTGTGTGAAATTTATTGGCTAACACTAGGCGATACTAGGCTTTCGTGTTTCTTTTACAACCTTATTCTCTTTTGTTTATACATACAGACAGACATTCAGCTTTATATATAAGATATAAACCGCCGAAGTGCGCGAAATCATTTTCAGGCATTTGGAAATGCGGTCACGATACAAAATAATAATAGCAGCAGGTTCGGAAAATTCATCAAAATCAACTATCGTGAGAATGGAATGGTTTCGGGGTGAGCATTGCGGATATCAAGTTGTTTTTGCCTTATTACCTTTTTACAGGGCCAATGTGGAGATTTACCTGTTAGAAAAGTCAAGGATCATCTCGCAGGCCAAAGGAGAAAGGTGCCGATAAAATTCTTTTTCTATTGTTTAAACCTTTCACAACAGGAGAAGGGAACTTTTCCAAGATTTCGAAATATGAGAATCACAAAAGTTTTCTAATTGCTTCCTCATCGCCACAATGTGATAGCAATATAGGTCAATAGCGGGTACCCTTTCTTCCAACTATGTAGATCGATTTATCGATTTTTGCATGCGCTAGGTTTCAACTTTCGATAGAATCAATATCCTGCCAATTTTCGGGATTCTCTGAAACAGTCACAAATCGACTCTTTGATGGACAGAAAAGTTTTCACAAAAAAAAAACTTGCAAGCAGAAATGATTTACCACAATTGGAATAGGTATTGTGGTTTTGCTTGCGATGCATTTTTTGAAATAGAATGTGAGGGGAAAAAATCATGCGAATGAGAATCGAGATCAGTGATTTTGTAAAATCATGCCCAAGATTCTCCGCTTTCAAAGTGTTGTGTTTAGGAACTATCATGTGTTCTACTATCTTCTAGAAGGAGCCACAGATGAGGAGCGAGCAAAATACTTTCTATTGAAACCACAGGATTACCGCTACCTTAATCAGGTAAGCAGCAAAAAGACAATTTTTCCACAATTACCATATCTTTTTTTATGCAGCATGAACAATTCTCACCCGAAGGAGTAAATGAGAAATATGAGTTTGATCGGCTCCGACGAGCCATGAGCAGTGTCGGCTTCAGCACAAATACGCAGTCAACCATCTTTGGGCTCATATCTGCTGTACTCTTGCTTGGAAACATCTCTTACATTAGCGTATGGACTTCTTCTAAATGCAAAACTCTTTTGTTTCTGAGAAATTGTTGTTCTTGCAGAGACACGCTTACCACAGTGATGAAAATGCTTATATTGAGAACGAGGAAGTAGTGGACTTGGTTGCTCAGTTGCTGAATATAAAGACAGAAGCTTTGATGCAGGTTGGAATACGGTAGCTTATTGTGTCTCTACAAATATTCCAATTTGTAGGCTCTAACTATGAAACGACACGTGATGAAGACGGAGACCGTCGTGACACGGTTCAGTGTTTCTGAGGTTTTGCACCACAGGAATTTACTTATTTACGGCAAATATAAAATATTCATAGGCGATAAACACCCGGGACGCGATGGCAAAGTGTCTGTACAATGCACTCTTTCATTTCATTGTCTTGCGTATCAATCAAGCGCTGATGAGGAAGGACGTATCGGGAAGCGTTGGCTATTACATAGGTATGAAAATCAGCCATTGCTCATCTCTTTCCACCCCAAGGTAGAAAAATATTGGGCATCTTTTCATCTTACATTCATTTTTCTACACATTGGAAATTTTTTTTTAGGTATATTGGATATCTTTGGTTTCGAAGATGTTGGAGCACAATGGAACTCGTTTGAGCAACTTTGTATCAACTATGCAAATGAACATCTTCAGGCCTACTTCAACCAACACATCTTCCAGTTTGAACAGGTTGGAAGATATGATAAAAAATTTGCGCACATTTGTGTTGACCCTCAGATTCAATGCAAAATTTGCGATATTTCCTCCAAAATCAATATGTATTAGTTTGAACAGCTTTTAAAAAATCAAAATGTTTTTGTTTTTCTAGCAGACTTGGGGTACCATTCGATAAGTAAGGCAAGCTCTACATAACGAACACCAAAGATCCACCTAAGTCGTGATCAAGGCAAAATCTGGCAAAATCGAGATAGATTCTATCACTTGAAAAGTAGTTCGCGAAAAAAAAATCTTACGAGGCTCTAAATGGTCGTCATACAGAATATACATAATATGTATTCATTTATTTACTAATTTTTCGCGCATAGCAATCGAGACAAAAGGGTAGTGTAAAAAGGCAAACTCCGCCCTAGCTCCTCCCACATATGTGATTGTACACTGCAAGCCTAGTTTGCACGGTGGAAAAAATTCAGCAAACGTATTCATGGGTACTCTAGGTGCATGTGTGATGAACAAGTTGGAGGTCCGAATTTTCTGAAAAGAGATCCGATTTTTAGAATAGTTGATGGATTTTTAGTTTGTTTTTTTGGCTCCAAACAGATGGATTTTTGATAGTCGTTATCGCTCGCTATATCCTATCGAATGGTACTCTAGGATTTCCAGGAGAACAAAAAAAGTTTGATTAAAGGTCAATTTTTGGGACAACTAGTAGCTCACATGTGCAAATCTTTCATACCTTTGAATCAGCCTCTTATGCCTACAACATCACCAAACTGATCATTTTTAGTTATAGAGTAAGAGTTTTTATATGCCAAAGCAGTACGACACTTTTCTTTGTGCCGATTTTGATAAAGGAAAATTGAAGCAGGGAAGCTAAACTTCATTTTCGAAACCAGTTTAGGAAGAGTATCAGTCCCAAGGAATCTGTTGGACGAATATCGAGTACACAGACAACACCGAGTGTGTGCAGCTCTTCCAAGTAAGCAAAATTCCATCCGTATAACAGAAAAGCTAGAGATATTCCTAGAGCAAACCTTATGGACTGCTTCGCCTTATCGACGAGGAGAGTAACATCAACAACGGAACCGATGAGTCGATGCTTGCAAAACTAAATCAGTTCCTCAAGGTGAGTGATAGCGGTATCTTCCCCAAAATAAGCTCTCTCCGTTTCAGACAAACGAGTATTACGAAACTCCGCAGAAAAAGGAGCCAGCCTTCATCATTGCCCATTACGCAGGAAAGGTCAAGTATCAAATCACGGTGAGTCCGATATTTGTCAAAAAAATTTCTTCGACAGAACGACCTTACTATTCAAGGGTTTTCGCGAGAAAAACAAGGATCTCATGCGCCAAGATGTGCTTAACACTTTGAAAACGAGCAAATGTGCTCTGATGAAGGCTGTGCTAGCCACTGATCCGGTGGCGGTTTACAGGTAAACTTTATGTTTGGAAAACTTGTCCTCAATCTGAACGTGATTTGCAGATGGAGCATACTCCGTTCAACGTTTCGGGCGATGCAAGCATTCCGACAGTCCGGAAAGAAACTCAGCCGAAGTGGTTGGTACACTGTAAAAGCAGAAATATTATGTTCTCAAAATGATTTGTTCATGCAGACTTTAGCGCATTAGCTCCTTAAGGGACTAAAGTTCACTTTTTGTAATTTTAAAAAATACGGGATATCTTAAATTGGTATCATCTCAAAATGGGATTCCAGCTGCCTCGGTCTATGTCAAAATAGAGTTACTAGTTTGAATCTAGTTGTCTGGCCTAAAGTAAGCTGGCTCCGCCACATACAAAATCTTGATTGGAAAGCAGAACGTACTAACGCTGTGGTGCAGTAGGTCAACACCATGATTTTACAGTAATAAACAGCGATTTGCAATTTTTCATACTGCGAATTCAACTTGAATTACAAGTGGCAATACAACTTGGGTCATCTGTGGGCCAAGTTTATATAGGTGATGGTTTATTAAAGGGGGAAAATGATTCATGTATGGTCATAGATTATGAGTGTCAGCGAGCAGAACTTGAACTCAGATTCCTACAAATCAGCATATGAGCTTCAACGAGCATGAAACAAAACGAAGTCAGCGTGACTTTACAATTTATCCCTTGTCTGTGGTGATTATGGGCAAACAAATAATCTTCATGCGATAGCCGATGTCAGGCTAATGATCTACTTTTCAGAATCAGCTGGACATTTGAGCGTCATGAAAGAAATTCCGGAGATTCGACGCGGCTCGGACTCGGCGCTGTCGCAGTTCCTTCGCGGTGACCTGCAGATCGACATGCCCGACTTCGTCGACACGAGCGTCTTCAAGACGATTTTCAACCAAGCTCGACGAACTCCAGCGAGGGGCGAAGAGCGCATGAGCACCGTGCGATGCCTTCAGGTCGTCCATTCTCATAAAGTTTCGACGTAAATGAAAGCAACTTGCGCATTACCATTTTCTGCAGATCCTAAAAGAAACCGTTGGCAAGAGGAAAATTTCGAATAAGCCGACAACTGTGTCGCGTCAATTTGAGTACTCGCTGAGTCGCTTGATGAACACCCTGGCTCATTCGTCGCCTTACTTCATTCGCTGCATCAAAAGTAATAATGATAAGGTAAGCGGACAACTTATGAGAGATTACCATCAAAGCACATAGATTTCAGATTCCAAATCACTTCGACGACAACATCATACTTCGCCAGCTTCGGTATACAGGAATGCTTGAGACAGTTCGGATACGAAGGGCTGGCTACAGTGTTAGGATCGAGTGGGATGTGAGTCGCTTTCACTGATTATTATGACAAATTCTGTGCTTTTTCATTCAGCTTTCCAGCAATTTTAGGCCTAGCTCTGTGCATCACATGTATGCAATAAGTTTTCCTTTTTTCAATAGAAATATATGATCTGCAACAAGATCATTGCCACCGAAGCAAACTGCGAGAGACAAAATACTTTTTACAGTTTTTATGACATTTCCTCGCAGTAAGGAACCATACATTCATCAAATTGATCTACTCAGTGTTTATCTTCGTTCATCGTCTGCACTAATATTTTAGAATTTGATCAATATTGTCACGATGTTTCTAGAAGTCTGATAAATAAATCAGAGTTCAGGTTTTCATTTTTTGTGAAGATTGGATTTTTGCCTCGTTTGACTCTGTATGGACATGAAGCGACTAAAAGAAGATACTCTTTGGGCGAGCTTTGGAATTATTCACTTTGATCCTAGATCGCTTGCCCCACATTCGCAGTTTCTTGGCTAAACGAATGACAAAAAAAGAAGAACGATATCAGCAGATGTACTTGCCTTTTGGCATATTGCTCTGAAAGCAGGGAAAATTGTAAAGATCTGTGTAAGCAGTTAGGTGGGGTGAGGAGTTTTGAGCGAGAAAAGAGCTTTCAACCTTGTATGGATATCGAGCCTTAGGTAAAATCACGAAAAAACTTTGGACGGATCAGCTCACGAATTACGTAACCCAATGTAGTCGCACGGTTTGAACCAGAATCATCCGCATTTTTAGGCATTCGTAAAGCAATACAGGGTATTGCTTAGAGAAGGCCTAAACAGCACGAAAGAAGATGTGAAGGACTTTTTGAACAGCCATCCCACCATAACTTCGGACAACATTCAGTATGGAGTGAGCAAGGTGAGAAGCGTGAAGAATGCTTTGCTTCTACGCATACACATCAAATCACTCAGATCTACATGAGAGATGCAGAAAAGTTGATACTGGACGATCAGCTTCACAAAGTCATCATGCAACATATTGGCAAGTGTTTGTTAATCTCTCAAAATTACCAACTCTCATTAAGTCCATTTTGCAGAGACCCTACAGCGTTGGTTTCGTACTGTCATGACTAGAAAACGCTATCTACGCCTTAGACAGGGTGTTATCAAGATACAAGTGAGCCACAGTCAATTCTCGAACCAGTTTGATAAGATTCTGCCTATGTTCAGGCTATGATGCGAGGAGTCTTGGCAAGAAACAAGCTCAGAAAGCAATCTTATGCTGCCCTCGTCATTCAGTCGAACTGGAAACGGTAAAAACGGCTACCGTGATGTGGCTGGAAGAAACTTATCCCTAACTCTTTAGATATCGTGAAGAGCGGCGCTACAGATTATTAAGAGAAGCGATCATTGCTTTACAAGCTGCTTACAGAGGCAGCGAAGCTCGCAAAAGGTAGATTGGTAACTTTTTCAAGTTCGCTTACACCTGTTGAGTCGGAATTCTCCAGTGTCAAAGTTTAGCAGTACTCATGCTCGTTCTGATGAACTCTCAGAGGTCTGGCGTAATTGTAACTTGTGAAGATTTCGAAGTGGTTCTCTGATTTTTAAAGCTACCTGATCTCCTTTCATTTTATCCTATTTGACCTGTCTACAAGACAATTTTTTCGTCTTCTCAAATCTCAGCTTCAAAGCCGGCTGTTTCAAATCGAAATATTCGCAGCTTTTAAGCAAGGTTAAGTAGAAGAGGCTGAGAAATCTTACATAAGACAAAAAACAGCAAATATGGGGAAAGTGAGCTTGAGGAGAGGAAATTTAATCCGCTATGGCACAGTTCGATATCCACTAACAACTTCGTGCAGTTTTACCCCTATCAACAAGCGGAAGCAAGTCTGAATCCGTTCTACCTACTTATAAAATGTGGATTTCCGACAACGTGGAATTTTATGCCAAAAAAAAAAAATTCTCGACTGATGTGGGTTTAGAAAAATGAAGGCTCAGCCCGCTTCATCAGATCGGTTTTTCGGAGATAGCGAGTTGTGATAATTATTTCATAATCTATTAGGTTGTCCCGAAAGTTTTGTCGGTTTTTTCAAACCGCTATAAAACTACGCACAATGAAGATCTGAATGAGCATCAACATGCATTCCATGCACCTTTTCCTTCTCTTTCTTATGGTTACATCCTAGCAAAAATCCTATATGCTTTTTTTGATATTTGTTGCAATTCTTCACCCGTCATTTTTATCTGCCCAAAGTTAGGCTAATTTTTAAAAATTTCATTCCAATGTTCCGGAGGTGTTTAAATATGGCACAAATAGAACAATTCTCGGACCACAAGGCGGTATTTTTAGATTCTCCTAGAATGCTGTTTTTAGCTTCAAAAAATTATTTCTTCGGAGGTCTCGATTTTTGGAAAGGTCATGAAACACGCAACTGCAGCAAAAACATGAAAGGTCTTGAAATTTTTGCGAATTGAAACTTGATTGCTAATAAACAATAATTATGCAACAAAACCAAACTTGATTTGCTTTGAAAAATCAGCTTTTTGGAATTTTCGGTAACTTTACGTGCTAGACATAATCAAAAAGCCGCGGTTTTTCTTTAAAAAATAATCATTATGGACTTGATAGACGTGACCCATGTAATATAAAGTGAACACAATGTAGCCAAAGATTTGCTCTACGTAACAGTTACTAGCGCTCTTCGGGAACATCAGTATAAAAATTTTTAAAATTCAGGAAAGATTTGGCGTTAGTGCTGAACTGCTTAAAAAGCCATGGGGATATGATTGCAAAGACAGGGTAGATCAGAGAGCAAATATAGCAGTAAAAAAGAGTATAAAAATTTGAATCAAATGATACCTAGGTCGTCCATGAATTGGTGTTCTTTGGGTTTTAGTGAGCGATGAAAAAAACCGACAAAACTTTCGAGACAACCTAATATTAGGGTGTCCCATAATTTTTTTACCGTTTTTGCTACAACCGTCGTCTTTTTGTAAATTTATTTCAATTGAACTGTACCAGGTAATCATTCGACAGAGCAAAGCAAGCTCTACAAGATGGCTATGGGTCCGCACGATCGTATTCCATAAAGTTTTGAGCTGCAATCTGAGAGCAGTCAAAAACAAACTTTTCTGTAAGGAATCGTATCTCGCCCCCCAAAAAAATCTGAAGAACTCCTCATTTATTCTAACATATGCTTGACACATCAAACATTTGACTGTACATTTTTTGTATTTTCCATGTTTAGAAATAAAGAAAAGAGTGAATGGAGCAAAATGACAAACCCTGCCCCTAGACGTCCTGAGCTTCCTCTAACGTGATCATATAGCTCTTACATACAGAAGTACGACCAGGTGTCTTTACTCCTTGAATGTGTCCCGTTCTCGAAAAATGCTGATCTTTAGGGTAAAAACGTAAAAAATTATGGCACAGCCTAATACAGGTTATCTCGAGATAACTCAGATAGTTTGCCAACTCCAGTTAGGAAATGAAAACATGCGTCTTTCATAATAAAATAAAAATTACTTTTTTTCAGGTTAGGCGAAATCCCAAGAGGCCATGATCTCAGCAAGATACGAGTGAAAAGAGTTCAAGCGGTCAAACTGCCAGTATTTGACCTCAACGATCCCGAGTCGCTGGCGGCGTTTGCTGGTAGCGATGATGACGAACTCAGCAGGTATTCGACATTTGATAAACTCTTCTCATCATGTTCAACTTGATAATCAGTATATATTAACGAATGGTAAGAGTGCAATTTCCAGATTATTAGCCACACCTTCCTAGACAAGTGAGTAGGGAGAGCGCGGAGGTAGTCGGGTTGCATGAGAGGCGTGCCCGGCTATCACGCCAAAAAAACGTACTCATCAATGAGCGGATAGGTATGAATGCAAGGCAGGGAGTGAGAGTTTTCTGGGTGCATTTGGGTTCACACTCTGTCGACTGCCGCTCTGCCGATGGTTCTGACGCTGACGATACGTTTGTTTACGTAGTGGGGCACTTGGCACTGTGTCAGAAATGGCGCCTGGTATTGTTTACGCGGTTCAGCATGACTATTTTTGGAGCCGTTTTGATGCTGCGGCCAATCTGTTTACGCAATGAGACACTTGGCACTTCGTCAGGTCGGCGGTTTTGGATGCTTGTAATTTGCAATTGGGACTGTTTATAGACATAAACAAACGCTTCGAAATGTATTTAATACAGAATTTCTTCCTCTTACCAGCTGCTGTATTAATCGTGTGATTTGTTTAGAGAGTGCTCTGATTATCGCTGAGATGTACAACACTTTGTTCAAAATGTCCAGCTTTCGATACTTTTCGAATTTTTGTCTGAAACTTTTGGGAGTTTCAATAACCAGCTAGGGCGAACTTTCTGCCAGCTAAAAAATTTTTCCTCTTTTCTAAGAATTTTGCTAAATAACTTCCCAAAACTCCCGAGTTTGCAAAACTCGCATAACCTGTTGCAATAAACACTGCTAAATCTTCGGAATAGAGGTTTTAACACATACTGCTACTGCTAACCTTACAAAGTAATGATGATTTCCGCCTCAAATTGTGAAGATTTCGAAACTTAGGATACCAGTGTGCACCAGTGAAATTGGGAAATTGTCGTTTTGTTTTCGCTTGTCTCGTCATGATATGAAAAGACAACTATTAGAAAAAGGAGAACTTACGTGATACTTAAACTGCTTACCACTTCGTGTTTTACGAGCTTAAAGTACGCAGCGTGAAATTATGTTGTTCTATAAATTTAATTTTAGGAATTCTGAAACACAAGCCGTATGGCTGCAAAAAATTGGTTCCAAGGGCAAAAAGTTGCCTGCTATCAAACCGTCTCCTAAAGTCTCACATGAAAATTTCGAAAATTAGCGAAAGACATGGTAAAAATCAAGGGCTGTAAATTCCAACGATTATCTCAGCACTCTCGCAATGAATCACATTGCGGTTACAGCAGCTGGAAGGAGGAAAAAAATTCTGTTTGGACACAAGTTGCAATGTTTATTCAACTTTATTCTATAATGGATTGGATCTGACAATACTTTCGCAATTTGGCAAAATACTGAAACGAAAACGAGTCATTTCTTTGCAAAGTTTTCGCAAAGGTTCGGTATTTGTACAAATCTTATACCAACTTTTTAAGACATTGGACTTGAAGGGCTTTTCAAAATGTTTCTAAAAGAGGCGAATTTGTTACATAAGCCAGAAATGGTAAGAGTCTAGGGAAGAAAGTGAGATATATCCACAAGGGTCTTTGCATTGTAGATATTTATTTTTGTATTGCAGCGATTTCCAAAACATCTGAAAACCTGGCTCAGAGAACATTTGTGAACGACTTCAGGATGATCCTTATGGAATATAAAAGATTTGGTGGAGCTCCAAGCCGATGCTTTTGTTGCAAGAAAATTCTATCAAACTACTCTAGAAACTCGGTTAAACATTGTCTCTATCCCTGTTGTCTGAACATCGTACACGACTTGTAATTAAAATTTGCGTTACTGTCATAGTAGTACAGGTGCAACTACTACTTTTAAAGAAAACTTCCATAAAAGTGGAGGAAAACCAAGTTCAAGAGCATGCAGAAGTCTTCAAGAGGAACTTTGAGAGAGCTTCAACTGGAGTGTGAAGAAAAGAGCTGCTTTGCATAGATAGTTATTCTTGGATAGTTGCACAAAATTGTTCACACACAGCAGCCATTTTGTAATCTTCCAAAGATCTGATACGTTCGTTTTCTTGATGGTGTGACCGCACAACGACCAAAATGGGAGAATAATCTGTGCTAAAGTTGGCACTATGAGAATATCTGTGCCTTAACCTAGCTCATATTATCTACCCTATTTACTGCTACCGATACGAAGGGACACCTAGGCATTACAAATTATGTGCCTCTCCACTTGCTAGCGATCCATAGGGTCACTCAGGCTACAAATTATCTATTCTACCCGCTTGCTAGCTATCAGTAGTGTCACCTAGGTGCTACACAATATCTGCCCTATGCTAGCGATCCATAGGGTCACTGGGCACCAAAAGTTGTCTGCTCCCACTTGCTAGCGATCCGTAGGGTCACTGGGCACCAAAAGTTGTCTGCTCCCACTTGCTAGCGATCCGTAGGGTCACTCAGGCTACAAATTATCTGCCCCACCCTCCTGCTAGCTATATGTAAGGAATCTAGGCGCTCCAAAATAACTGCTCCCACTTGCTAGCGATTCGTAGGGTGACTCAGGCTACAAATCATCTACCCTATCCGCTTGCTAGCTATGAGTAGTGTCACCTGGGTGCTACACAGTATCTGCCCCATGCTAGCGATCCGTAGGGTCACTGGGCACAAAAAGTTGTCTGCTTCCACTTGCTAGCGATCCGTAGGGTCACTCAGACTACAAATTATCTACCCTACCCTCCTGCTAGCTATATGTAAGGAATCTAGGCGCTCCAAAATAACTGCTCCCACTTGCTAACGATCCGTAGGGTTACTCAGGCTACAAATTATCTACCCTATCTGCTTGCTAGCTATCAGTAGTGTCACCTGGGTGCTACACAATATCTGCCCATGCTAACGATCCGTAGGGTCACTCAGGCTACAAATTATCTATCCTATCCGCTTGCTAGCTATCAGTAGTGTCATCTGGGTGCTACACAATATCTGCCCCATGCTAGCGATCCGTAGGGTCACTGGGCACCAAAATTTATCTGCTCCCACTTGCTAGCGATCCGTAGGGTCACTCAGGCTACAAATTATCTACCCTATCCGCTTGCTAGCTATGAGTAGTGTCACCTGGGTGCTACACAATATCTGCCCCATGCTAGCGATCCGTAGGGTCGCTGGTTCTCTAAAAAAAAGGAGAAAAAGAATGATAATTTCAGCGACGAAGTTTCGACAGAAGACGGCTTGGACGAAGATGTCTCTGAGACTAGCGTGCTGGGAGAGATGTTTGCATTTTTCTCCAAACCCAAAATTTATGGAATAATTCTTTTGAATCTTTCAGTGATGACGCGGCCATTGCATGTGATGCTACGTTCATTCTCGAGGACACAAAACTAAAACTAATTGAGTATGTGAAGATCTGAGCCTTTCTTAGTCGTAAAAAATGGAGTATCGTTAATAATTCTAGGGAGCAAGATCTTAGCCACAGGAGGCAATCCTTAGCTCCAACAGCCTCCACAACCAAGCTGAGAATGTTACGAAGAGCGAACAGCACGGACAGCAATATCATGGTCAGAGATGATGGTCTACAGTCTCTTGAGGTGTAGCGAACATTCGAATTTTCTGATCAGTTTGAGTAGATTTTTTCAGCTCGGAAGCCCAACGTCAAAAAAGAAAACGGGTAGTCGTTTGGGTTTCGCGAAAGCCAAGAAAAATCTGAAGGCCTTGTTTGGACGAAAAGACGACGACGCTAATGAAGAAGACGAAATGGAGCCTCCTACCAGGTAGTTATTTGGTCCATCTGGAAGAAAATTTGCTTAGTGTATATTACAGTAATGAACTGAATCCTCCACCAACCGTTGTGGAAGAACACCATCTCAAAGTTTCACGACTACATCGACAAGAATTGTGCGCTATGTGCAGCAGACATCTCACTGGCTTCATTTCCCAAGCCTATAAGTGCTCAAGTCAGTAATTTCTGAATGAGGAATCGTCCATTACCGGCAACGTCATTTCAGAGTGCAAACTATGTTTCCACAAGGAATGCTCGTCTTTTGCAAAATCACTTCCCTGCGTGCCATCTTCGCCGTTGAGGTCTCCGACAAGGGTCAGCTCACCAAAACGGCCGTGGGATATTGTGTAAGTGGGATATGACTAATCTGCACGATACGCTGTAGACATGGTAGGGAAGCAGGAAGCCCAAGAGGGCCACGAATTAAAAACAAAGGGGGCTGACGGGAGTAGAGAGCTTTTTGCACCCTTTATGTCTCGTTCACTTCTGCAAAATGCAGATTAATGCTAATGCCCTTTTAAGTAATGTTGATGATAAAGGAGATTCACAGAGAGAAACCAACCTGTTTGCATACCCGGTATAATGCGTTGCTACACAGCTTACCGAAGACCACAAAATGGTGATCGCGCAAAACAGCCACCTGCGAATGTTCTGCATATTGAAATTTTGATGACATACCACTGCTCAAATATTAATGACCTGGTAAGCTGGAAGGTGAAGATTTTAGCGCTGATTCATATATACGTACCAGTGGCGTACCGAGGGGGGAGGGCGGGGGTCGCGAAATTCTTGAAAGTTACTTAAATGTGTTATAAAAATGTGCAGAGGACTTGTTTTTACTTGTAAATAATTAAAACAATTTTTAAAAATTCAAATTAGCTTTGTAAAATATTTTTTTCGGGGGCGTGGCTGCCGCCATGCACCTTCATTAGAAAAATTGTTTTGTCGCCCCCCCCCCGAGCCGAAATCCTGGGTGCGCCACTGATCGTACATAGTTCATAAAATAATACCTCCACTTTTCACATCTTGAGTGTATTGGCAAGGTCGACCTTTCAGATTATTCGGCTGTGACCGGTGGTAGTATCGAATGCTCAAATTTTTCTTCGGGATCTTGCAAAGACATGATTGATTTTTAGGGGCAAACCTCGAGCTTCCACTTCGCCATTGCCCGATCAGTCCAGCAGATTTTCGCTGTCCTTCAGCCTGAACAAAACCAAACAACAAGTAAGGACACCTCGCTAGTTTGCATTCCTGATCAATTTCGTTGCAGACAGATCCCGGTAATATGATTGTGGAGTCAATCGAGGATCTTCGACAATTCAGTGTGTTCATATTCAAAAAGCAGTCGAACCTCGAACAGAACAAAAACAAGCGAGACACTGTTGTCGACGCATTGTTCAAAAAATCCCTACGAGAATTTCACATGGAACTGATCGGCTATGAGGCTGTGCTTACGGTAAGCGTAGAATTGATTAAGCAAGCAAATAGTAGTCATATCATAAGTGCCGTTACAATCAAAGGGGAGAGCCTTCATAATTTTTTTAAAAAAATTTTTCGTCCAATTTACTTAGAGGGTTGTAGCTTTTCAAAAATGTCATTCCCTGGAAATCAGTTATTTGATTTTTGATTAATATAAAGTCTTGGCAAATACACAACTTGCGTTATCGAGGGCATTGAACTTACAACAACTTCACCCGTGCGCTTTCGCTCCGGCGAATTTATAAAAATATCTTGAAAGGTAAGAAGGAAAAATGAGAATTTTCAAAAGACAGTGAGAGAATGAAGGTCAAGCTGTTGCGGTACTTTATACGAGTGAACCGGTAACCTCAAAGGTGCTAGTTGCAGGCGCGCTCGTTTCGGGACCCGCACGGTTACCCGCTATCTAATGATTTTTTGAATGCATTTTACGATTCTTTATATATTAGATTAGATAATGCATTAGGTTCTTGAAAAGCCGATTCTCAAGGAAAATACATTTTTCTCTAAAATCCTTTATGATGTCTAAAAGCCCGATTCTTCGAGTTTCTAATTTGTGCTTTCGTTTTCGCAAATCTTGTTTCCAACCAGAGCTCAATGCCTTCAAAGACAATTACTAAAAAAATTCCTTTTTCACACTCTTCTTTCTAAATCCATGAGAAATGGTCCAATTTTGTTCAAAAATTTTTCTAATGACTGCGAAATTTTGTGCTACAAAGACATATCAATATTGGATCTTTGAATATTCTTGAACAGAGGAATTCTGGCTCAAATTGGCTGGTCGCTGAGGTCCATCTATCCTGCATAAAAATCTCAAGCAAAGAGCGATTGTAAAACTTTCGCTATGTACAACTATAGTGGATCTAGTACAACTATGTACTAGGTAATAGGAAAACAGCAACTTTCCTTTTCTTTTATTTCCTCATCGATCAGAGATGAAAATTATTTTGAAAATCCCAAAAAGGCACGGTGAAAAAAGTAAGTACTTTCAATTTTTTGCGAAATTTACTCACAAAAAAAATGCCGTAAAATACAAACGTCGGTCCATTGCGCAACCGACATCAGCTATGTAATGAGCAAACTTCGCACGATCCTAGCGCACTTGAGAGCAAGTTAAGCTTTCTCGAAGTATAGGTTTCTCGAAAAACGATTTGGAATTTTTCTACCTAGAAAATTTTTCTCAGAGTGGGCATAGCCAAAGGTTTGCTGTTTGCTATAAGTTTTATTGCGCTCAAAAAATGGTTATGAAAAAGAATTATCGGTACTTCTCCGTTATCCGGCCCCATTTTTTCAAAGAACGATATCGCTTCTTCCCTTGTACCATATCTGGTCCCAACTTCACTGGAAGGAATGTCAACCTTCCTCCCACGTGTCATAAAATTTGACATGTCATTAACATGTTTAGCAGGTTTAACCAAAGGTTTGAGATGCCCTACCTAGCGACGTAAGTTCAATCTGTTTTTTAGTCAATAGTAGGCCCTCGTTTGAACTATCAAAATAAACGTTGTCATCAAAAAACGTCGTTATTTTATTAAAGAACAGATTAGACAGAAAAGTGGACTAGGGTTCCATTATCTAAGTCACCAAACAAGCAGCAGCGAGAAACTCAAGCCATCATTTATCGTCTTGTCTGGCTAAATTTGCATGGCGAAAAGTTTGAAGAGAAAGGCAATGCTGAATCATTGCTAAAAACAATCCAGATGTTCTAATATAAGTTACAGATGGTTTTTCTTAAAAAAAAACAATTAAACAGCTTTTAGGTAATCGCAAATGCTCTTTTATCACACCTGAAATGATTTCGAAAAAAAACATGTCAAAATGATCCAAAACTTACCAGTATTTTCCTAATACGTGGCAAGGAGGAAGTCCTCCTGGAATCTATGAAAATTTGTTCTCAAACTAAAGAACATATTTTATGAGCATTTTCAAAAAAATGGGTCTTGATAACGGAAAAGTACCGAAATATCTTAGGGTATATAAGTTTTTTCATAGCCCGAAAATTAGAACCAATTCTGGCCTAGATATGCAAATCTCGATAGAAAAGTATACTATCTATCCTATACTGGCTATGAGCGGCTAACGGAAATGTGGCCTGAGCAAGCGGTGCTTCGAACTCTTCATCTAATCGGAGTCAATCTGAATTTCTTTCTTGTAAAACGTGACATAAAAGTCTGATAGAACAATAGAAAAATGAAAAGAATGAATGTTCCCAACAAAAATCGGTGGTAACCTGCTATGCTGTAATTATCTTAGCCTTCTAAAGAAGATTTTTGTTGGCTAATGAGAAAACCAAGACATTGTTGCTCTTCTGCAAAACGACATTCGAGCTATGATAACGGATATATTATCATTTGTAACCAAAACCTAGGAGGAGCGAACGGTTCTGAAATATCGCGACTTGATTACGACCTTCGAAGGAGTGCTCACCAAGGTTTGCAAAGAAGAAAAGGTCTCATTTCCAACGACGCTCGGCGTCAATGCCTTCAGGTAGTACCATTACTTGCCTCACATTTGACAGTTAATTTCCCGTTTGCAGAGGGTTTCTGAACGAGTTCATGCAGACTCAGAAGAAAAAGGGCTCCAAGCAGAAGTCGGGCATCATCAAGGTAAGTGGTCGGCTCTGCGCTTCTGCCTATGCCTGCTTCAGTTACGTAGCAGCAAGAGCTTCCCTGTTTCAATGTTGACTTTGCAATCGCTAATAATGTCTATCGCTTCGGCCTTAGAGAGACTGCACCTTGCAATTCTAGAGCGTTCGTAAGAAACGTCGTCGTTCGGATGTGACTGTGGTAAGAGATTCTCGCCAAATGCCTAACATGGAAAAACCTCTACTAACAGCACGCGCACAGTCGAGGAGTTTACGGTCAACTGCAACATTTCGCGCGTACCCATGTCCATTGCGTACTTTTGTATCAGACGCGTTTTGCATATCGAATTTAGATGTTAAATATCAGCTTACTCTTTAGATTAGAAATTATCCTGTCAAAACTACTTCTGTATAGTCGCGGGCCCGGAGAAGAGGGGGAGGTGTACAGAAATTGCAAAATACGCAGACATTTTCTTTTCACTAGCGAATAATCGAAATTTTTTTGAATTTTGAAAATCTATGTACCTGGAGGCAGCTGGAGACTTCTTCAAGTCTACCAACCTTCTTAAGAGAAATTTCATGGGCATCTTTCACCTCCGAAGTTTCCGCGTTACCTCTGTACGATATTTGGAACATCTGAAGATGGTGCTACCCACATTCTCTTTCATAGTTTTTGCTAGCACGGAGTAGAATAAATGATGCTTCCACAGAAAGCCCAAGAGGGACACATCCACCAAGGCATCAGAAATACCTTTTAATAGCATTAGAAAAAAGGTAGACTAGTAAATTCATCAAAGATTGCTGCATTTCCTTTCGTAAATCGTAAAACAGTTTAGGAAGCGAGGTGCATTCAGAAAGGCCTCATTTTTGATAGCCCCTATAAGCAACCAAAAAATCAGAAAACTGGTATGCGTTGGAGTTCCATCAACATCTAGAAGCTTTCAAGAAGGTTTCTGCTCAAAGTTTCAAACCGCGTAACTTATATAAGGACTAAAAAGCAGGACCTAAATTCTTCTGGCGTTCACTTCCTTTCCTCCCGTTTCCTTTTTCAGCTTCGATAGTGCTAGCATAGTGATTTGAGGTGTCCTGACAGTGATGGTCGCAAAGCGGCTCAATGCTTTCTATTTTCAGCTCCATGCAGGTCATCGTTTCAAGTCCGACTTGGTGCATGTGCCCACATACTGCGAGGTCTGCAATCAGTTCATGTGGCACGCCGAAAAGATTTTCATCTGCGTTGCTTGTCGCATCTCTTGCCACAAGAAATGCCACTCAAAGATCACGCAGTTGTGCACGATGAGCATTCCTTCGAGTATGTCCACTGCGGTGAGTGCAAGATCGAAGCAAATTTCCATTTGGCGGTTCACTTGGGGTAAAAATAAGCAGGAGGCTTCCATACTAATGCAAACTTGCAGCTTTGCACAGTTTGCGAAAATAACCTACTTTTTGATAGTAAGTCAGCGTAACTTCTCCTGAAAAGCCCGATAGGATCTATAAAGATTTGTCATAATCATTACTATTATTTGACACTCAAAGTGCGGAGAAAGAAGAATAAAATTTGAGAATGGAATAAACTTGCCACACTTTGCACATTCAACAGAAACTTAATGTAATACTCTTCTTCATTGACATAGGTCAGACGATGAGAGGAATATGTCTAGCTTCCATAGGAAAATCGTAACTTGCAGTTACCCCCATTTCACGAGTCAAGGTTTCAGCCGCTTTGCTGTGCCTCATGAAACGATCACTGTACATAGTCGATTCTCTTGTGTAGTACGCGGCAAGGTAGAGGTCCCTGGGCTGCCAATTTTGGCGTGTTTGGCCTAGTTGATTTTATGAAAAACCCAAGCATTGTACGTGTGAAATTTGGATGATAGTTTTTGAGATACGTCTACACGAAAATAGCAAACATAATCTAAGTACAATCTTTCTCTAGGAGCTGGAATAGTTCTGCATCATTGATGCTTCCATTTCTCTTTACAAAAAATTTGAATGTAGCCACTAAAACGGCCCGAACTCCCTTTTAGCTTTTAATCTTAAACAAAGCATAACCCTCTATGTATTAGGCGGACTGACCGCACCTGCCATTCCAAATGATCACTGTCTTTTTTGATAGTGAGCCATACATTAGCTTTTTCAAACTTGTAAATTTCTATAGTCTTCACTATTAGACTAATTGATTTGTTGGATATGATATAAGGTAATTGTTAGGCTTTGAGATAATTACCCTTTTACTACCTGGCATTTCGATGTAGGATTGAGTGACCGGAAGAGCCGAGCCCGTAAATCAAAGATAGTTGTTTCTATAGGAAGCTCTGGTTGTAAATCAGTGAAATGAGGTTGGGAATACCACAGCGGCCAAAAATCGTATGACGCCCTGCTCGAACAACTAGCAGAGAATGCATTCGTGCCTACACATCGTGCCAGTTGTGCGCCACAAATCTATTTTATAATAGTCGCAAAAAGCAACTTTGCCTAAACCTCATTGATCTGCATTTCACTCTTCTATCCGGCTAATGTGATTATTTATTTTATGAAGTGGTAAAAGGGTGGAGATGCAGCTGCAGAAAGTTCTGAAACAGTTAAATTGAAAAGAAGCGGTCATAGCGTACCGTAAAGGCAATGTTGCAGGCTTTTGAGAATAACTCCTATGTATGGCAACCATTCGGCGTCGTTGAGGTGGAGTTGATAATTCATTATTTCCCCGGGGTCTCCATGGCTTCTACTTCATTATCACTTATCTAATTTTTTTCATAACTCTTCTGCATGGCATACGCAATTTTTCATAAATCTTCTGTCTCAAAACCAATCAAGTTCCCACCTGGATTTCCAGTGTTTTCAATTCGTTTCAGACTGGTGGCCGATTCTTTGGTGCGGTCTTGGCTTCGCTTGTGGACGAGGACCATGTCATACCTCCGCTAGTGGATCGTTTGTTCATAAATGTCGAAACTAGGGCACTTTTCGTGGAGGGAATTTATAGGTATTTGAGTCTTTTATTCGCATCCACAATGTCATAATCAGAAAAGATTGAAATGGTGTGAAAATACATATATATGTGAAAATATTTTGCAGGAAAAGCGGTTCGCTTGCTCAAATCCGAAATGCTCGTCGAGTGATTGAGACTGCTCCAGGTTAATCTCAAAAATTCGGGATTAGAGAGCATCAAAGAATAATATGCAGTGAAAGCAACGCGATAAGCATTCCAGATTTTGAAACAGTATCCTTGGACGATGTGCAAGTTCATGTGCTTACAACGCTGGTCAAGTCATTTCTAAGGGAACTTCCTGAGCCGCTGATTACATTCGATTTATACGAGAATTTCCTGAATGTGTCTGGTAAGAGACTAATTCTTTAATCTGCAAGAAATATGCTTTCTTGCTTACAGAAGTGGACGACGGTGTTGAACGAGGTCGATGCTTAGCGGTTATGATAGACCTACTTCCAAAGTCTAATAGGGGTTTGTTGGATCGGCTCATGTTCCATTTAGCTAGGGTAGCCTACCAGGTGGGACGGAAGCACACACACAATATTACAGTTCTTCATGTTGTTTGTATAGGAAGCAGTGAACAAGATGGGACCATCAAATCTCGCTTTGATTTTTGGCCCTTGTATCTTGAGAAGGCAAGACAGTGTTCATGCACAGGTACTACTGCTTTATGTATCTTTGCTATTGTAAGCTGCAGTCGTCCTCATCATACTAAACAACTGACGGACGATTCTGAATTTGGTTGGAGAATTTTCTTCGGTAGACGACACCTTCTGAGGTAAAACTTGGGGTCGAGGGTACCGCGTTCTACAACAGCGGAAATGCTCCAGTTCAAACTCAAAATCGTCCACGGGGTGTGCGCTAGGATGGGTGCAAGTGTGACTGGAGTAATGTCTTTTTTTAGGAGCAATTGAATGACGTTTCACGTCAAGCCATATGCGTGCAAACATTAATCGAAGAGAAGCTGAGACAGTACAGAGCCACTATGATAAACATCGTTGAATTGGAAGATGCTAGTCAAAAGGTTAGATGCCTTAATCTCTACAGGAACATGATTTTGCGAAATGAATCGTCAATGTTGCAGGTGTCTGCTAATTTGCGACGCATAGAGGAGCACCAGCGTGCGGATACGGTAGCGAATCCGCCGCTTGGAACTGCCAAGCAACTCTTCGAGGAACAGCTTGACTTCCTCGGCAGACAAAAGTGAGTTCTATAGTTTAGAAAACATCTCGGCAAGCAAAGTTAAGGACATTCATAAAATCGTGACGCGGATTTGACAGCTTTTCTGTGCCCAGGGGCATAAAACACTCATACAAAAGGCATCAACTTGACTCTCAGCTGAGTGACTTATCCAGCGCTCTTGGTACGCAGAAAAACTATTCGAGTAGAGATGAAAATCAAGAATTGCGATTGCCGGAGATTCGTATGCGACGCACGCGGCCGCGCCACCGTCCGTTTTGAATACAGTATGCTTGAAATGCATGAATGTAACAGCGTTCTACTGAATACTTTAATTTGTGTTCCAAAAATCCTCAAATCTTATTCTCTATTTATTCTCTATCTATCTGTTTCCAGGGAGAGGCTATTGCAAGAGCTTCCTCCATTGGCTCCTGTCGCTTCTTCAGAAGATCTTTCCTCTTCTGACGAGCACTCATCAGGTCAGCAGTCCCCCAGATTTTGCGAAAAAAGTTGCGGTCTGAGCACGAACACTACCATATTCCAGGAACGTCACAGGAAGAATACGCCATTGACATGGATGCGCCTCCAGTGTTCGGAGTCTTATATCATGCCTGTAAATATCGAGCGAGACCGCCCCCTGGAAGAAAACCGCCGTCCCGGTTTCGTCGATCACCCGCTGTTCTTTTTTACACTCCACTGCCTGATTAGGCTGCTCATACTGTTCGAATGTGATCTTTGGGCCATTAAAGAAATCTACGACGAGTATTATAGAGGAAGGCATTCCCGTTGCAATGTCTATTTATGACGGGTTGAAATATGCATGTTGAGTACAGGGTCGCTTGTGCCGGCTCGAAGCACAGCCTCCTAGGTCAGAGCTCGCTCCATGTCTGGATATATCTAGTGAGCATTTATCTTCCAACAACTTCCGCGCCTTTCTAGGAAAATACTCAGAAAATAAATCGCAAACGCGTTTTGAAGACGGGTAGCACTATTATTACGCTGTGAAAATCTGTCTTGGACAAAGCAAGTGCGGGTTGTGAACATCCGTGAGTTACAGATTTCTTTCTGTATAGAATATGCTTCTACATTATTTTGTGCTTGCAACGAAAAAGCAAAAAGAATTTCAAAGCAGAGAATCGACCTACGCTCATGTCAATGCCGAATCTGCATCAACAGTGAGAACCTAAATTTCTCCCTTGCTCACATTTTAGGAAAAAATGCAAATCTCCCTCCAAAACTCGAACACAAGTTAAATGCAGAGAAAATGCAAAGTGTTAGGTTGATTCATGATTAACGCCGTTTCTATGATTAAACTCTCAATCGAAAACTTTCTAGAAACACTTTTTCTGAGAGCAGTATATTACATACCGTTAAACAATATAGGTTTTTGCAGAGAGCATATAAAGAAAAATTCATGAGCATGAAGACTGCCAAATCTTTCCTGAAAACCTTTAGTTTGAGAGACCATAAATCAATTGAAAGTAGTAGGATAAGAGACACTCTGCTCGTTGCGTAGCCGATGATCGGATACAGTGGTGCCAAGCTCAGGTACGGAATTTTTCAGATGGAAAATATCCCAAAAAGTTGCGCCTTTAACAGAAGATAGACGGATACTCGGTAGTATAGTGGTGAAGACGGATCCTCGGTAGTATAGTGGTGAGAATCCGCGTCTGTCACATGCGAGACCCGGGCTCAATTCCTGGCCGGGGAGAATCTTTTGCTCCTGACACAATGAACAGTTCCAAGCGCTGAGATAAAAACGCTCTGATAAAAAGTTCTTTTCCATGATTTTTCTTTCCTTCACAAACATTGGCCAGCACATTAGGCATTGTTAGTGAAGTAGCGCAAAAAGCTCGCATTTGCAAAACTCATTCCGTTGCCGGGAATCGAACCCGGGCCTTACGGGTGAGAGCCGTAAATCCTAACCACTAGACCACAACGGACTTACCGATTCCCTCATTGTGCCTGTTTTTGAGCACTTCTTATCGTGTCGCTATTTCTTCATACTCTGAATCATTGCCAGTAAAATGGTTCGAAAGAAATAACGGGGAATCCAGCTCGCACTCTGCGATAAAGTGAAAAAGCGCCTTTAACAGAAGATAGACGGATCCTCGGTAGTATAGTGGTGAGTATCCGCGTCTGTCACATGCGAGACCCGGGTTCAATTCCCGGCCGGGGAGAATCTTTTGCTCCTGACACAATGAACAGTTCCAAGCGCTGAGATAAAAACGCTCTGATAAAAAGTTCTTTTCCATGATTTTTCTTTCCTTCACAAATATTGGCCAGCACATTAAGCATTGTTAGTGAAGTAGCGCAAAAGGCTCGCATTTGCAAAACTCATTCCGTTGCCGGGAATCGAACCCGGGCCTTACGGGTGAGAGCCGTAAATCCTAACCACTAGACAACAACGGACTTACCGATTCCCTCATTGTGCCTGTTTTTGAGCACTTCTTATCGTTTCGCTATTTCTTCATACTCTGAATCATTGCCAGTAAAATGGTTCGAAAGAAATAACGGGGAATCCAGCTCGCACTCTGCGATAAAGTGAAAAAGCGCCTTTAACAGAAGATAGACGGATCCTCGGTAGTATAGTGGTGAGTATCCGCGTCTGTCACATGCGAGACCCGGGTTCAATTTCCGGCCGGGGAGAATCTTTTGCTCCTGACACAATGAACAGTTCCAAGCGCTGACAAGGGAAGGATACTCGGTCGAAGTGGCCATTTGGAATGAGCTGTATATTAGGAAACCGTTCTCCGTAAGGCAAACTCAAAACTACTTCCGCTAGGTGCCGAGCGGTTTTGTGGGGGGAGTTACAAGGCCATTTTCCTCCGGCGCAGCCAGCGCACCCAGTGATGGGCGAGGCGCTAGAATAACGCGTCAGTGTGGCAGTGGCGCAGTGGCAACGCAGCGAACTACGAAGCAGATAGTCGAGGGTTCGAGTCCTGTTGCTGCTATTTTGTTTTGCAGTTCTGTAAAAAGTCTATTGGGTGACAGCCAACAAGAAATACTATTTCTAGGCAGTCGAAACAAGCTATTTACTGCAAAAATGTCACTACCTTGCATTATAGGGATTCCATTCTTAAGATTCTATCGCTCATTTACACACAGTTTTGCTCGCCGCGATTCAAAAATTTCCTTTCATGCCCATGGCATGCAGCCGGATACATTGATAACCACCCCGGCGAATTGTTGTGTTGTGACATCTTAACCTCCACAGATTGACATATTGTAAAAGATTATAGCTTATTGTAGAAGTAGTGACTTTTTTGCAGTAAATAGCTTGTTTCGACTGCCTAGAAATAGTAATTCTCGTTTGCTGTCACCCAATAGACTTTTTACAGAACTGCAAAACAGAATAGCAGCAACAGGACTCGAACCCTCGACCATCTGCTTCGTAGTCCGCTGCGTTGCCACTGCGCCACTGCCACACTGCTGCGTTATTCTAGCGCCTCGCCCATCACTGGGTGCGCTGGCTGCGCCGGAGGAAAATGGCCTTGTAACTACCCCCACAAAACCGCTCGGCACCTAGCGAAAGTAGTTTTGAGTTTGCCTTACGGAGGACGGTTTCCTAATATACAGCTCATTCCAAATGGCCACTTCGACCGAGTATCCTTCCCTTGTGAGATAAAAACGCTCTGATAAAAAGTTCTTTTCCATGATTTTTCTTTCCTTCACAAACATTGGCCAGCACATTAAGCATTGTTAGTGAAGTAGCGCAAAAAGCTCGCATTTGCAAAACTCATTCCGTTGCCGGGAATCGAACCCGGGCCTTACGGGTGAGAGCCGTAAATCCTAACCACTAGACCACAACGGACTTACCGATTCCCTCATTGTGCCTGTTTTTGAGCACTTCTTATCGTTTCGCTATTTCTTCATACTCTGAATCATTGCCAGTAAAATAGTTCGAAAGAAATAACGGGGAATCCAGCTCGCACTCTGCGATAAAGTGAAAAAGCGCCTTTAACAGAAGATAGACGGATACTCTGTAGTATAGTGGTGAGTATCCGCGTCTGTCACATGCGAGACCCGGGTTCAATTCCCGGCCGGGGAGAATCTTTTGCTCCTGACACAATCAACAGTTCCAAGCGCTGAGATAAAAACGCTCTGATAAAAAGTTCTTTTCCATGATTTTTCTTTCCTTCACAAACATTGGCCAGCACATTAAGCATTGTTAGTGAAGAAGCGCAAAAAGCTCGCATTTGCAAAACTCATTCCGTTGCCGGGAATCGAACCCGGGCCTTACGGGTGAGAGCCGTAAATCCTAACCACTAGACCACAACGGACTTACCGATTCCCTCATTGTGCCTGTTTTTGAGCACTTCTTATCGTTTCGCTATTTCTTCATACTCTGAATCATTGCCAATAAAATAGTTCGAAAGAAATAACGGGGAATCCAGCTCGCACTCTGCGATAAAGTGAAAAAGCGCCTTTAACAGAAGATAGACGGATCCTCGGTAGTATAGTGATGAGTATCCGCGTCTGTCACATGCGAGACCCGGGTTCAATTCTCGGCCGGGGAGAATCTTTTGCTCCTGACACAATGAACAGTTCCAAGCGCTGAGATAAAAACGCTCTGATAAAAAGTTCTTTTCCATGATTTTTCTTTCCTTCACAAACATTGGCCAGCACATTAAGCATTGTTAGTGAAGAAGCGCAAAAACTCGCATTTGCAAAACTCATTCCGTTGCCGGGAATCGAACCCGGGCCTTACGGGTGAGAGCCGTAAATCCTAACCACTAGACCACAACGGACTTACCGATTCCCTCATTGTGCCTGTTTTTGAGCACTTCTTATCGTTTCGCTATTTCTTCATACTCTGAATCATTGCCAATAAAATAGTTCGAAAGAAATAACGGGGAATCCAGCTCGCACTCTGCGATAAAGTGAAAAAGCGCCTTTAACAGAAGATAGACGGATCCTCGGTAGTATAGTGATGAGTATCCGCGTCTGTCACATGCGAGACCCGGGTTCAATTCTCGGCCGGGGAGAATCTTTTGCTCCTGACACAATGAACAGTTCCAAGCGCTGAGATAAAAACGCTCTGATAAAAAGTTCTTTTCCATGATTTTTCTTTCCTTCACAAACATTGGCCAGCACATTAAGCATTGTTAGTGAAGAAGCGCAAAAACTCGCATTTGCAAAACTCATTCCGTTGCCGGGAATCGAACCCGGGCCTTACGGGTGAGAGCCGTAAATCCTAACCACTAGACCACAACGGACTTACCGATTCCCTCATTGTGCCTGTTTTTGAGCACTTCTTATCGTTTCGCTATTTCTTCATACTCTGAATCATTGCCAATAAAATAGTTCGAAAGAAATAACGGGGAATCCAGCTCGCACTCTGCGATAAAGTGAAAAAGCGCCTTTAACAGAAGATAGACGGATCCTCGGTAGTATAGTGATGAGTATCCGCGTCTGTCACATGCGAGACCCGGGTTCAATTCTCGGCCGGGGAGAATCTTTTGCTCCTGACACAATGAACAGTTCCAAGCGCTGAGATAAAAACGCTCTGATAAAAAGTTCTTTTCCATGATTTTTCTTTCCTTCACAAACATTGGCCAGCACATTAAGCATTGTTAGTGAAGAAGCGCAAAAACTCGCATTTGCAAAACTCATTCCGTTGCCGGGAATCGAACCCGGGCCTTACGGGTGAGAGCCGTAAATCCTAACCACTAGACCACAACGGACTTACCGATTCCCTCATTGTGCCTGTTTTTGAGCACTTCTTATCGTTTCGCTA